TCAAACTAAAAACGTGTGTTACAGTACACACGTTTTCTTTACAGTACACACGTTTTCTTTGAAAAGAATCGGTGGACGCGTTATTAACGCCTCCTCCTCTCCTATAAATAGAGGTAGCGAAGCCTCAAGCAAAACACAGCAGAAAGGAAGAAAAAAAAATGTAGAGAGCGAGTTATCTAGTTTTAGGAAGGGTTTTCTAAAATTAAGATAGAGAAAAATAGTGAGGAAATAATTTGGGGTGTTTTTGGGAAACACTTTGTGTGCCACTATTTTTGTATTACTCTCGTTGTGTACCTACTATTTTTAATAGTGGAAGAACAATTTGGAATTTGTCCCGTGGATGTAGCCCTAAACAGTTGAGGGTGAACCACATAAATTTCGATGTGCCCCATTTCTATTTTTCCGCTGCGTCAATTTTCTCTTGATTCTTTGTGAGGGCCCAACAAGTGGTATCAGAGCTGAGTCAAATGGTACCTGAGGCCCAACAACTGGTATCAGAGTCGAAGGTTTCAGCAGATCGAGCCGGTCAGATAGTGGTATCTAATTCGTTTATATATTTTGAAAATAAATATACCACGACGAAGAGAAAATTATGACGAGTCCATTGGTGCTGTCCGCTCAGAAAGACGTTGCAGAATCGACTTAGTGATTTGTATGAAATAGTAAAATAGTAACTCAAAGTTGAATGCTCGTGAACAGTACTATTGCTTACTGTTGTGAGGTCCCGCGTTCAAGTAGCCCAGCACTATTCCAGCACTATTCACGCATAGTACTATTCATATGTACAGTTACTACTCACGCAGATAGTTACTATTCATGGTCACTATTCATGTATACTACTGTTCAATATACGGTTTATGTTGGTGATAATATTCTGCACAAGTCAAAATTGATAAGCAAAATGATCAGTCTAAATGGCGCGTATTACCATATATGGAGAAATAAAATGTGAGATCTCTCTATGGTAATCAAAATGCATTTGACCGTGTTTAGTTGAACTAAACCGGAAGACAAGACTGATGAAGAATGGGCTTTCGAGCATGCGTCCAAACCTCGGTTGGTAGATTTGATGATGAAGGTTTCTGTAGCACCTTCAGAAATGGTCAGTGGAAGCTCACAAAAGGTTCATTTGTGGTAGCTAAAGACCGAAGGACGAAAAGTGTACGTTATGGCATGCGAAAACTCTCCAAGAACACTTTGAGCTATAGCGGAGAATGACAGTACAGTTGACTTGGAATTGTGGCATATAACGACTACGCCACCATGAGTAAAAAAAAACTCTGGCAAGAAAGAACGTACTACCTGGATTTGGATTGAAGTTCACCTAGACAAATGTTCCTGATTGTATATGGCGAGAAAGCAAAAACAGAGTAGCTTTCGAATTACCCTTCTTCTGGAATGAAGGAATGTCATTAGATTTGATTCATTTAGATTTCTGTGGGACCATTGAACGATGTCCATTGACGATGTCATATGGTGGAAATCGATATTTTGTGATATTTTATCGATGACCATTCTAGGAAGACCTGGGTATATACATTAAAGTCTTCTAAACTTGGTTGAGAGACAGACAGGTAAGAATGAAGTGTATCAGGATAGATAATGGTGGAGAATACACTGGGTCATTTGATGCTTTCCGCAAATAGCATGGCATTCGACATCAAACAACACCTCCCAAGACGCCGCAAGTGAATGGTTTGGCTGGGAGGATGATTAGAACTTTGATGGAGAGATTGTGATGTTTACTCTCATATGCAAAGTTGTCTAAGAGATTTTGGGGTGACGCTTTACTCACAGCAGTTTATCGTTCACCTTGTTTCCCTCTACAGTATGATACTCCAGAGAGAGTATGGTCAGGAAAGGATGTTTCCTATGATCATTTGAGGGTGTTTGGTTGCAAATGATCATTTGAGGGTGTTTGGTTGCAAAACCTTCGTACATGTCCCGAAGGATGAACGGTCGAAGCTTGATGTCAAGACTCGACAATGTGTATTCATTGGCTATGGCCAAGACCAATTTGACTATAAGTTTTATGACCCAATCCAGAAGACGATTACAATAAATCGTGATGCTGTATTTGTTGAAGATCAGACTATTGAAGTTATTGAAGCAGAGTGCCAATAGATCTGATGAAGACTCAACAGACATACAGAGAGTCCCTCCATTAGTACGCAGACAAATTGGAGATAAGAAAATGTTCCACAAGAACAAGCGCCAGAGTTAGAAAATCCAGAAGTTCCTAATTAGAATGAACCAGATGAAGATTATGTTGTTCATGTTCAACCACCAGCATCGGAAGATTCTCAAACATTAAGAAGATCTTGTAGAGTCTGACAACCATCTACTAGATATCCAATCAATGAGTATGTACTGATGACTGACGGGGGAGAACCTGAAAGCTTTGAAGAAGCTATGGAAATGAACACAAGAGAAATTGGATTGAAGCCATGCAAGATGAAATGAAGTCCTTGCATGAGGATGAAACATTTGAGTGGGTGAAGTTGCCCAAAGGCAAGAAAGCTTTGAAGAACAAGTGGGTGTTCAGGATCAAGCAGGAAGAACACAGCTCCCAACCACGATTCAAAGCCAACCACGATTCAAAGCTAGACTGGTTGTGAAAAGATTCAATCAAAGAAAGGGGTATTGATTTTGATCTTTTTCACCAGTTGTGAAAATGACATCCATTTGAACAATGCTCGGAACGGCTGCCAGTTTTGATCTGAAAATCGCGCAAATGGATGGAAAGACTACCTTCCTACATGGAGATTTGGAGGAAGAAATATACATGAAGCAACTAGAGGGTTTCATAGAAAAAGAAAATTGTGTTTGCAAACTGAAAAAGAGCCTGTGTAAGGCTTGAAGCAGGCACTGAGACAGTGGTACAAGAAGTTTGAGTCTGTTATGGGGTAGCATAGCTACAGAAAGACTACTTCAAATCACTGTGTTTTTCGTAAAGAAATTCTCCGATGATGACTACATTGTTTTTTGCTCTATGTGGTTGATATGTTGATTGTTGGTCAGAAGCACTAGCTTGAAGAAACAGCTATGTAAGTCTTTTGCTATGAAAGACTTGGGACCAGCATAGCAGATTCTTGGCATGAAGATTACAAGGGATCGAAGAGCCAAGAAATTATGGTTGTCATAGGAGAAGTACATTAAGAAAGTACTTCAAAGGTTTAGAATAGAGAATACTAAAGTGGTTAGTTGTCCTCTTGCTAATCACTTTAAATTAAGTTCTAAATAGTGCCCTTCTACCAATGAAGAGAAAGAAGGAATGGATAAGGTTTCATATGCTTCAACAGTTGGAAGCTTGATGTATGTCATGGTTTGTACACGGCCAGATATTGCTCACTCAGTTGGAGTAGTGAGTCGGTTTAGTAGGTGAGTCGGTTTCTTTCAAAATCCTTCAAATCCTGGAAAGGAACATTGGACTGCAGTGAAATGGATTTTCAGGATATCCAATCACATTTGCAGGGGGAGCCGTGTCGTAGCAGTCAAGATTACAGAAGTGTATTGCTCTGTCAACAACTGAGACAAAAGGAGAAGTCCGAGCTGTGTGTCAAAGCGGCAGGAATGAAGAGTCCCACTATATTGTTGGAAGAGGGAGAATTGTTGTGGGTCACTCTGACATGTGGGACCCACACGCTTTGAATGAAGAAAAAAAAAGGAAAGAGGAAAACGTGTGTACAGTACACACGTTTTCTTTGAAAAGAATCGGTGGGACGTGTATTACGCATCCTCCTCTCCTATAATAGAGGTAGAGGAAGCCTCAGCAAAAAACACAGCAGAAAGGAAGAAAAAAAAATATTAGAGAGCGAAGAAAATTAGTTTTAGAAGGTTTCCTTTAAAATTTAGGAGAAGAGAAAAAATAGTTGAGAAATTTATTTGAGGTGTTTTGGAAAAAACACTTTGTGTGCCACTAATTTTTGTATTACTCTCATTGTTCTGTACTTACTATTTTACATGTGGGACCCACACGCTTTGAATGAAGAAAAAAAAAGGAAAGAGGAAAACGTGTGTACAGTACACACGTTTTCTTTGAAAAGAATCGGTGGACGTGTTATTAACGCATCCTCCTCTCCTATTAATAGAGGTAGAGAAGCCTCAAGCAAAACACAGCAGAAAGGAAGAAAAAAAAATATAGAGAGCGAGTTATTTAGTTTTAGGAAGGGTTTCCTAAAATTAGGAGAGAGAAAAATAGTGAGGAAATTATTTTGAGGTGTTTTTGGAAAACACTTTGTGTGCCACTAATTTTGTATTACTCTCATTGTGTACTTACTATTTTTAATAGTGGAAGAATGATTCAGAGTTTGTCCCGTGGACGTAGCCCTAAACATTAGTGGGTGAACCACGTAAATTTCTGTGTGTCCCATTTCTATTTTTCTGCTGCGTCAATTTTCTCTTGATTCTTTGTGAGGGCCCAACAAGTGGTATAAGAGCTGAGTCAAGTGGTACCTGAGGCTCAACAACTGGTATCAGAGCATTAATACCAATACCACTTTTCTCCAGCAACAATCACGCAAGAATACACTAAGACTTTTCCTCTCCTTGACGAGCTAAAAAGGATCAGAGAATTTGATTTTTTGAGGAGATGATAAGAATCTATCTTTTTATACTAAGTAGAAGCTTTCACATTCCCTATGTTAAAGCTTAAATTAGTTAGAAATTGACCTATACTTCCTAATCAATTCTATAACCTTGCCTCACCAACTATGGTCCATCCTGTGCTTCCTAAAACTGACTGATTTCAGAGATGGTCCTTTTCTACTATGAACCTCCACATCCACTCCAGAGAACTTCTCTCTATCAGGGATTATTCGAGATCCTTATAATTATAAGGTTGCTAATTTCATGCCACAGCAATTTTTACAGGAAAAAACATTCCTGCCCAATTACCATTCAATTGTTTTGTATTATTTTAAATATATTCTTTGGTTAAGATTTGACCTGATTCTTTTGGATTCTTGATTTTAATTTTTTTTCCTTATTGTTATGTACAGTGGGTGGTGACTAATCTTCGACGGAATGGTCCTCCCAGTTCATCATCAGGCTTCTCATGGGTGTTGGACCTTGAGGGAATTTCTGAACTGTACCGATCTTATGAACAAACAAATTTATGGTAATGTGAAGGGAGCTGTTGGTGGGGTTGTGGAATTTATTTTGTCTTAGTTTGTCCAAACTCAGCAGTCAAGCTGAAGTCCCCTGCTGCCTTACTTATTCTTCTTCTGCAATTGATCAAATATAGGAAATTTGTTGAGAACTTGCCTAGAGGTGTTCATGTCAATTTTCTGAAGGCAGAGAGGAGTTTGCACAGATGGGCCCTTGAAGATCTGCAGCGAATTCATGCTGCAGAGGATCTGGCTGCTGAGGAGGGAGGTGGAGTTGAAATGCATGTCCTTGAAGATGCTGGTCACTGGGTATGTTGCTGTTACTTTTTTTAATGTTGCTAGTCCCTCCGAGCCTGAATCGTTTAGGTAATTAGCTGTCATTGGCCCACTTTCTCATCCCATGAAAGAAAAGCCAAAAATACAACGAGTAATTAGTTACTTGCAGGCTGCTTTAGATGTTAAGACTTGTAAATTTATTTAGGTCAGCAGGTGTTGGTTGCTAAAACCTAACAAGTTTACCCGATTTTGAGGTATGTATTTGCCATCACCACCTGAACTTGTTATATCCTGGTCTATGAAGCATTGACGTGGACAGGATATGTCGAGACATTATGACATAGACACACTGGCCTAAGTTTCTAAAAGAATAATGAGCACATGACATACATGTTCGTTTGCACGTTATATTGTGTAGGACATGATATATTCCTTAAAAAACTTATGTATTTTGGCTTGAGTATTTTATTAAATGCTTTATGAGCAGCTCATATCGATTATTATCTTTCAATAGGTACATGCTGATAACCCAGATGGGCTGTTCAGGATTCTTTCATCTTCTTTCCAACTGTTCAAAGCCTGAAGATGGATGGATCATGACTTTGCACACACTTGGACAAAATGGCCATATGTTGTGCAAAATATATATATTTACCATATCCAAAAAATTATCAAATGATTCCATATGATTTATGTACCATGGTAGTATAATTTTAGTTTCTTGCAAATTTTCACATAGGAGCATGCTTATCCAATTCGTTATGCGTTAACAGTAGATTGAGCTATCTTTCACGGTTGCGCTTGGAAACATGGAACTGTAGGAAATAGAATTTTGGTATCTTTCAAGTGTGTTGAAGTTTTGGCTAACAGTCTTGTAAAAGAATAGAACTATAAGTTTTCTAATGGGTAAGATATAGCTTGGCTCAGTCAATTTATTTTCATATAATTTCAATTTATTTATGGATATCCCAGAATCTAAAATTTTAACAGCTATCAGTTAAATAATTTTGGGGATTTAGGTTAATTAAGGTGTAACCCTAAAGAAAAAAACACTTAACGAGTGTTTGGCAATTTGGTAAGCGCCAATGTGAAGACATTATGTATGTAGAAAATCTGATTTCACCCTGTGAATGGGTCAGAGATGGAGAATGAACAAAATGGATATGAAGAAGGGTGGTGGAATTCTCCATTCCTTCCCTTTTATTTTGCTATACGTTATCGATTTCGTGTCATCCTTGTTTGGTTTTGCTTCCATAATAATGCAGTTCTTTAATTTTTGTGTGCAATAAAATGTGAACTTCAAAAGTTGGTTTGTCGAAGTTGGATGGGCTAAACAATTTTAACTGTTTTTTTCAATATCTAAAATGATATTATTGCCAAAATGGGTGTTTACCCCTGTCTGGAATGACTGAATTCTACCAAATTTTGTAAAATGCATTTATAATCCTAAATTTTTGTATGAAAAAAAAAATTAATTATGAATTTGAATATAGCTAAATCAAATCCCAAAAAGAAAAGGGTGGAATTTCCAAATGAATTTTACAACTTCAACAATCTAAAATTTTATGACAATATATTTTAGGAATAAAACAAATGAATTTTCAACTTTTAAATTTGTATATCAATGCCAACAGAATGGTGATTCTGTGATCTAGAAAGAGAATTACACCCATAAGTTAGATATAGCCATTACACATTCTACAAAGAAGAACATGTTGATTTCTTTCAGCGCATTTGAACCAGAGATATACTTTTGTTGGGTTAACTGGCATTCTTGGCAGGTTTTGGTACAAGAAATTCAAACTTTTAAGACTAATATCTTAATAAACCGCATTACAAAAATAATTGAGACAAGAAAGTAATAAGAAAGTTCTCTGAAAGTCATCTGCTTCATTACATAGAATAGTATCATAGTAAAAAACAAGAAGTAAATACATTTCTGATAAAAAATAAAAAACGAGAAAGAAAAGAAGGGTTTTTCCCTGGTAATAGACTGTTCTCTCTACTAGATTACACACACACACACACACACACACATAACATTAACCTATAATTGCTAATACTTAAGCATCTCATCTCATCTCCTCTCAAATGCCGCAAAATCGCAATTGCAAATGCTCATTTCTTGATTCTATTGGCACATAAACACAGTAGTACACTACCAGTATTTTGCATATATATATATACATATATATAGCAAATTACAAACTATAGGAGTCAAAATTTTCTCTTTCTTCGCTGTCAAAACCAGTAATGCTTATTCTTTTTTTCCTGTTTTCCCAATTGTTTGTCCAGTGATCATCTACTTAGGTGCATATCATAGCAGGAGCTGCAGAGAAGTGCATTCGAGATTCATCGATCAAACCTTTCGAGGAAGAATTTGACCATTTCATTTGCATGAAGCTTCTCTTTCTCCATGGACCCATATGGATTTTCTTCTCCTTCATTGATCTCTTGGCTGAGTCACATATAATACCAACAATGGCATTTAGATAGTCTGCTTTCCCTATGTAATATTTTGGTAATTGAGCTATGAGCTTCTTGTACTCATCACATGCTTTTGCAATCTCAAATTGGTCTTTGAATTCCAATTCTATTAGGTATGTGATTTGCTTCTTGCGCCCACTTGTGTTTACAATTACTTCAATGTACTCATGCTTCCCTACAAAAGAGAAAAACAAAAAACAAAATCAAAACTAAGTTCAAAACTTTGTTATTTTTAAACTATTTTTTTATAACAAGAGTTGTAATCTCTTTTCGGGCTATAGATTATAGAAGTTTTTTTTTACTTCCAGCGAGTGTGTTTTTAAGAAATCGAACTTTGTGTTGTTATCTTTACAGAGATTGAGTTAGCTTGCTGCCCTAACGTGAAAATGGAAGTGTAAAAATGATTACCTCCTGGAAACTTTTGAGTGTTCTTCCACTTGGATGTGCAAAGAGATGCATTGAACCCTTTTAGAGACAACAAATCAACAACCTTTACTCTCAAACAGGAGCTGCAGCCATTAGAGCTAAGCTTCACACAGTGGCAATATTCTATCTCTTTTGCTTTCTCTATGATTCTGCTAATCTCTTGTCTTATCTTTAAACCTGTTAAGCTACAACGCTCCAAAACCTCCTGCAAAAATACGAAAAATTTGTAACATATTTGGTCGTTAATTATAAAAAATTTGGTCCAGTTAAGAAACTACTATTGTTGACAATGAAAAAGAAAAATTTCTAAATTTAATTTATTTCGATTTAAAAAAAAATCCATGCAAGCCTTAAATTCATTTTGGTGATCACACACGTGGCGGAACTACAACCAATTACTACTACTGTTACAGGTGTGGCGTGCCAGAAAGTAATGCATAAATTGAGCACGTGACATTAAATGCTTACCGTACGTTTAGCACATATAATATGATACTAAAAATATCTTCTTTTTTTTTAAACATAATTTTATTAAAAATTATCTTAATTCTAGCTAAGAGACAAAAGATCCAAAAACTAGAATATTAGTGAACCAGAAAAAATTTGCTCCTCTTTCAATCTTTGATTTTAATTTTAATTTTTCAAATTGAAAATTCATTTATAATTTTAAAATTTACTTTCATTGCCACAAAAATTTCTTGATTTTGAACACTGTAAATAAGAAATTTATTTCCATTTCTACACCTCTCTAATAATTAACAGAAAAAATTAAGAAAAAACTGAAATTCATCCTCATATTAATTAACAATTAATTAATTGCAAAACATATAATTATCTTCTATTCGTTTTGTTTCTTTCTTTCTATTTCTTAATCAAAGAACAAGAAATTTAACCAAAAATTAATTAAAAGAAATAAAATAATACCTGAAGCAAGGCTTCTTGTGATTCCCAATATAAGGTTCTTTCCATGGAGTCCTGCAAATCATCACCATCATCCTCACCATCAAAAGAAGGATCAGAGGGATGAAAATCTTCTTCATGAAGAAAGACTGAAACTTTCTCTTCCAGGCTGTCTGTGATTTTATGGCCTCTGTAAACAAAAGTAGAAGCAAAAGCCTTCTCTTCCATATCCATATCCTCAATTTCTTTAAAAGGAAGACAGATATTATATTGCTCAGGAAAATGAAAGATAGAAGAAAAGACTTCTTAATTTTGAGACAAGAAGTTTTTGCCTTGACGTCCCTCAATATTTATAGGACAGGATTTATTGATTTTCCATGTCAGCATTTGAGATTTAGATTTTTTTTTCTCAATTAAAAAAAAAAAAAAAGATATTCTACGTTTTGTGCCATTATTCCATTCCTTGGTGGCTGTGGACCATTTTTGGTTGTTAAGAGGTACACTTTTTTATTATTAAACAATAATTAATATGCTTTAAAAATATAAATGTTTGTTTTTATTATTATACAATTAATAATTTTTTTATAATTTTGCCGTGTGCTTTGATTAACTTTCTCACTTATATAAATAATAGTGCGAGGTTTTTGATTTGAAACCTTTTAAATATAAAAACTTTTCGCCGATTTGGTGATTTGGTGAATAAAGAAAAAAACTATCCCTCATCTATTCCTTATCAAATAATAAATAATTCGATTTAAAATATCAATATTTATTTTTATTACTACAAAATTAATAATTTTTCTTTTAGTCCTTGATATAAAATTATAACTCAATTTTGCTGCTTAATATCATAAATTAACTTTTGCATATCATATTAAATTTATCATTTTTCGAATATCATAAATAATATATTAGTCGTAAACGCAGTTACTTATTATTAAGAAAATCACATAATTTCATACAAATAAGTAATTCATGTAATTAATTTTATTTTCTTTGATTCCAAAGGAAGTAATTTCGATCCGTAGCATAATATATGAATTTGTCTTTGTATACAAATTTAGCTAACTCCAACTACAAGGGCTAATTACTAATTTGGTATGTAAAAAAAAATATATAATTCTTATATAAATTTTCTTTCTTGTAAATACCACTTTCTCGTCTATTACCATTTTTTCCTATTACATATTCAATTGAGGACTAAAATTAAATTAAATTTTATAAATCCAATTAGCTCAAATTAAAATAAAGTGACTCCATTAATCAAAATGTAAGAATTCACAGAACAAATTAAGTTTCTCTTGTAAAAATGTAAAAGGTTTTTATATATATCACAAAAATTTAAAACTTTGTGTCTTGTCAAAGTTTTAATAGGATTTTGGTTTTTATATATAAAATATCTTTCAAATACAGTGTTAGTACAATTTTTTTAACCGGTAATTTGTATACTTTTCAACTATTTAGCAAATTTTTAATAGTTCAAATTCTATAAATTGAAGTATTTAATAAAATAATTTTATAAATTAATGTGTTTAATAAATATAATTTTTATAATTTAAAAATTTTAATGAATTAAAATAAAATTTGAGGTTATCAGAAAATTTTGAGAGAGATGCATTTGTCCCACTTTAAGATTTAAATAATGTATTATATTGGATTCCTCTCCATGTATAACTAATACTTACCTAGCAATCACAATGATGTAATGGGAGTGGGTCTAATTTTTTTTGTACCAAGAATTAAAATTTTATGACTAATTAAACTCTTTTTGTTTGCATAAAATAACTTGTAAAAAAATATTTATTTTCACAATTTTTCATCGTTTGGAGTATTCAGAAAAATAAATCAACGGAAAATATGTTGAAATTACTTTACTCTTATTTGAGAAATCACGATTAAAAAAAGAAAAAAGCTATGTAATTTAAAAGCATTTAATTATAAATAATTACTAAATAAATTTCAGCCTGCTAGATAAGAATAAATTATTTCACAAATGATTATTAGGATTCTTATCCGGTGATGCCTAAGATCAAAATGATATTCAATTAACATAAAATCCTAATTTCTCCATTTGATACCTAATTAGGGCTAAAAATAAACATTTTACATGTAAAAGAATTAAACTCATTAATCTATGCATATACTCAGAAAAATGAAATCCTTATATTAAAAGAAAGATATTTAGAGCATAATCATAGTTTCTTATTCCACTACAAGAAAGACTTGCTTCATACTAAATGTAGACAACTATAAAAATAGAGAGAACATTGCAATTGTTAGGAGAGAACTAAACATATAGAAGGCAAAGTTAAAATATAAATGCTCCGTTTGGTATAAATGAATTCAAAAATATGAAATTCATTTACAAATGAATTCTATTTATTAATAAACTTTTATATGTTTAGAATAAATTTAAAATTTATTTGTTTTTATTCAAAATTAACAAAAACACATAAAATTTGGAAAAAAAAAACTAAAAATTATAAAAAAAAATAAAGTATATTTTTACTATGTAATTCTTGAAACTTATTAGTAATATTATAATCTCAATGTACTAAATAAAAATATTACTCCATCCTGCGGAGTAAAATAAGAGAAGGTACTTTATTATTTTTGAACTTCTGTGAAGTACTAAAAAGTACTAAGAGAAGGTATTTTTTGGCATTTGTTACCATATATAACGATTATTATACACTCCGCACTGTTAATAGCAATTACAAATAGTTTCAAATTCATCAGGTCAATACATATCAAGATAAAAATCTTATATGTTACTATTTATTCTATTATTCTTCTTAATGTTAATAAATGATCTACTATCCTAGTGGTAAGGATGATGCATCGAAACTTGGAGATCCCAGACTCAATTTTTGCCTACCACTAAATTCCAGTGTATTATCTCTTACTACTAGGGTAGGGATTATTTATTTTCACTAAGAGCAACTTGGGGCCTATATTAGGACTAAAAAATATTCTTGATTTCTGAAAATTGATAGATTGCCTCGAGGCAAACTCAATAATCCTTAAGTTATTATTTTATTGAGCAAATTACTATTTACTTTTGTATATTTTTTACAAATTGGACCTGGTTTTTATTACAAACCTTCTAAAACAAACAATTAATTATCTTCTAGGCCTTTATATTTTCTTTTTTTTTTTTCATTTGATTTTTATTTATTTTTTTCCACATTTGGAAAGCAAACGAGGGTTCTTTGAGCTGCTTCTTTGACAATGAATGACCTTTTATCTGTAAATTTTTCTCCACTCTGTTCATTTGGTTTTTATTTTTATTTTTTTTTTTTTTTTTTTTTTTTTTTTCCACATTTTGGAAAGCAAACGAGTGGGGGGGGGGGAACGGGTTCTTGAGCTGCTTCTTTGACAATGAATGACCTTTATTCTGTAAATTTTTTCTCCACTCTGTTCATTTTGGTTTTTATTTTTATTTTTTTTTTTTTTTTTTTTTTTTTTCATTGTGTTTTGTCTTGATCTAAGTGTTATTTTCTCCCTTTGTTTGTTGTTATTGCTTATTTAAAGTTTTTTTTTTTTTTTTTTTTTTTTTCATTGTGTTTGTCTTGATCTAAGTGTTATTTTCTCCCTTTGTTGTTGTTATGGCTTATTTAAGTGCATCCATTTCCTAAGGAGTACATTAAGGATTTGATTTTAGGATTTGGTAGTTAAAAAAAAAAAAAAGTTGGTTCACAAGAGAGGATTTTTGGGTGTTAAGGGCAAGGTACTAAAATGATGATTTTTTATTTCTTCAATTAAGTTAACCCAAGGTAAATAAATGGGTCATGCACTAAATACTATTTTAGTCCTTTTTTAACTTAGAAATTAAACTAGGGTATCAATATATCTAAGTTTCGAAATGAGAATGCCCGGGGTATAAAAGTCGTTTTAGGGTGATTTTACAACAAGTAACATAGTTGGGAGTGTTTTTGTAGTTTAAGCCTTTATATTTAGTATAAATTTAGAATCTAATGCAATGTGTGATGATTATCTAAAAAATACGCTTAAAAATGAAGAATAAAATAAAATAAATTCATCAAGTTAATGGAATTTAGTTCAATGCTCAATTTCAGATAATTGAATCCGTATAATTTAAATGAATATATATTTTTTTAAATATACCAAACACAAGAATGTGAGAATTCAATTGCATTCTCCAAAATTTTGAAAAATTTTTTTACACCAAATGGAATGAAAAGAATTCATTACATTAGTTTTGATGAACTATAAAATTCATTATTGGTAAGAATTCATTAGGTTTAATAGTTTGTACGTTTTTCTTTTGTCCTTATGCTTATAGTTATGCATATTTTTGAGGCCTAATGTATTGATGTTTTTGTTAATTTTACCCCAATTTCAAACTTTTATAACAATAACATCCTCATTGAGGGTGTTATTGCTTTTAAAGTTCGAAATTGAAGTAAAATTGATAAAAGGATTAAAGTAGGATAAAATTACAAAAAACTCCCAGAGTTGACACATTAGGCCAAACTTTAAAAGTTATAATACCGTTTATCTTATAAAACAATAATGTAAAATTGGAAAATGCATTTCTTTTATTTGTATTTTAGCTAGAAAATCCGATACTAGTAAAAGTTAACTAAAAAACACTTAAACCTATTCAATAACGAGAAAAAACAACAACAAATTGTCCTAACGGTTCAACCTCAAACTTCATCTTGCGGTTCAGAGTAGGCACAAGGCACCGATTTGGTCCTAATTATCATCTACTTTGTGTGGCCATGCAAACTCTTCAGTCTTCACCCTTTCCCATTCTCCACTCCTGCCTTCTTCCATGGCCACCACTCCTTCTCACCTCACCTCTTCTTTGCCTCAAAATTACTCCTTTAACCCTCCCCGTATCCCTGTTTCCCGCCGCCACCCGCTGCAGCATCGTATCAATTACCACCCTGCATTGCCTGCAAAAGACCAGTTTGCCTCTCTATGGACTGCAAAATCTCGACCCATTATTAGGTGTAAGGCGACAGAAGTGTCGGTGAGTGAGGGATCTCCGATTTCCGGTGGCGATGGCGAAAATTGGGTTCCGGTGGTCCCGCTGGCGGCACTTCCGAAAGGTGAAAGGCGGGTAATTCTCCAGGATGGAGAGACGATACTGTTGCTTTGGTATAAAGATGAGGTTTTTGCTATTGAGAATAGGTCTCCAGCTGAAGGAGCTTATACTGAAGGACTCCTTAATGCTAAGCTGACCCAGGTTTAATTAAATTTTAATCTTTAGCTAATTAGTTGTAAAATTTAATAAAGTTCAAGTCTTTAGTGTGGAATTTTGAATATTGTAGTGATTTTACCTTGATTTTTTTTTCTTGGGATCCTCTTGTTCATTTTCTATCCATTAGTTAGTTATTGAATGTAATGGCATCTGTCTCTAATTGGTCTTAGTTTTGGACTAATTGTTATTGAATTGTAGAAAGTGCATGTTTGCTTAATGAAAGAAGCAATAGAAAAATTGTGGTGTTGAGAATGGAACTGGAGGCTCAGATAATAGCTAGCAGTTGCATTTAAAGTTTCAAATATGATGCAGGAGTAAACTCTAGAATTCTTTAATGTTTTACTGTTCAAGATACTGTGGCAATTTTATAATTTGGGATTCTGTGTGTTTCAGTTATTTTGGTCAAAACCTGATTCTATCAGGATTTTTTGTGCAAAGTAATCTTTTTTTATTGGGATTTAGTAATAATGGAAGTTCAGATTGGTGGTCTGTTTCCTGGTTGTATCACCACCAATTTCAGCCTATTTTGGTTGATTCTTTTGGTCTCTTTATTCATTATTTGTTGTTGATTTTCAACCTAATTTGGATCAGAGGTAGTTTGCTACATGTTTATAACATCCATTGCTCTGTTAATTACTTTCTTTAGCTCTTAATTGTTTGAGCGAATTGGCTATCAATCAATAAAACATATCTGATGTCACAGGAGATTGAATTGTTGTGATTGCTCCTGAAAACTGTGTTGGTGCCAGCATTTTATCACGGCCAAAGTGGGCAGTCACTTTGGCGCTATTGTGAATTTGTTTAGAAAAATTATGTTTGATACACCTCAGTGTAACAATTGCAGTGATTTCATTGTGATTTGGTCAATATGCTATATAATGGCTGATATATAAAAAAAGCCATGGAGATTAGTTATTGGAGCAGCTATAAAAAAATGAAGTTTTTACTAGACTACTAGCATTGGATCAAACAAAAAAGATAACGGCTTTCTGCTATAATCTACCTCTACCTCTGCCTCTTTCTCTCTCTAGTCTCTACTTTCCCGCTCTTTCTCTTCTTTTCTCACCCTAATTGCTAGGCCAGGTCCTAACATGCAGGTTGAAGTTGGATGTAATTAGTAATAGTTAGAGATAGCTTTGGCCATTAAAGAAATTGCAGTAACACGGTGTAAGTTAATGCCTTTTTTTTTTATTAGCTGGTTAGTCCATTTTTCAGAGCCCTTCATTAATTTTGTTTATTGACAGCTGATATCAGAGTTATTTTTTGCTTCAAGAACAAATAGGGAGCATATGAATCTTAACCACCCATTTTATTGGAATCTGAAGTTGTCAAATCTTAATGTAGGGCCTCTGAAATTCTCCTACAATGGGGCTTGTGGTCTGATGTTTTTGATGGCTATGTTGTTCTAAATGCACTTTCTTCCCTTTTAAAGAATTCTGTAATGTGAAAAATCATCAGGTGTGAGTGTGTTTTCTTTAATTTGTAAATGTTAGTCAATGCTGTTGAAAATTTTATGTTATTGCACTTAGCATAAAATAAATAGATAAATTATATCCTTACCATATTTGTCCTTGTAAGTAAGTAAACATCGATTTATGTCCATACTTATTTTCCCACAATTTTTCTTAAAAAATACGAGCCTGCACCTGTACATTTACAGTTCTAGATTTATTAATGCTTTTACAATGAGTTGCCTGTTTTTAGGCTCTTTTGATGTCCATTTTAGCTGCATTACGTTATGGTGTTTTCCTACAACAAAGAAACCAAGAAACATGATAGTCCTTTTTTGCTGGTTCTTTTGCAGGATGGTTGTATAGTTTGCCCGACGACTGATAGCACATTTGATCTTCGAACTGGAGCTATCAAAGAATGGTATCCAAAAAATCCTGTGCTGAGAGTTCTTACGCCTGCTTTGAGAACACTCTACGTATTTCCTGTAAAAACTGATGAAGAAAATATTTACATCAGCTTGAGAGGAGGTAAAAAAGCTGATGCATCAGCCGAAATAGTGTTTAGTGGGAAGGCTCAACCTGGTTTGACTGCAAGTGATGTCAATGTGGATGAGGTAAATTTAAAAGCAGTTACATATTTGTTTTAAGATGCATCCCACTCCATGTAGAGGTGAGAAAAGTTCGTGTCTTGAGTTATGCTAAATCGAAATGTTATATGATTTATCTTTTAGGTGAGAATGGTAATTGACGAGGATTCAGAGGCATTTGGCTTCACCGGCAAGAATGAATTGATAAATGGGAAAGCAGCAGTAATTGGCTTCTTGTTGTTATTAGATTTTGAGCTCTTGACTGGGAAAGGTCTCCTCAAGGGAACAGGCTTCTTAGACTTTTTATATGCTGTATCTGATGCTTTCAAATAGACACCATTGCTTCTTTGGAGGGTGAGAAGAATCTTGGTTTCATAGGAAGGTAAATTTTCTATTTACTCACAGCACATTTGGATGTATAATCTTTTTTTTTTTTCCTTTCTTTTTATGTGTTTTTTAATTTTCTTTTTATGTTATTGTATATCGTTCACAAAAATCATGGTCATATTTTGATTTGCATATATTTAACCAATCTGGAAAATAAATACTGAATTTTCAAATTGTCATCTCATTTTAGAAATTTCTGTTGGGAAGAAAAACATTATTGGCCCTAGACCAGTTCAAGTTCAGTTCGGTCTGGGCTTGGGTCTGGTTTGGTTGGACTAAGAATTTTTTATTAGACCAAGCCTGGTTTCATCGGAAAAATATTTTGAAAACTTTTATCCAGGTTGGCTAAGCCTGCGGGATACTCATGGGCTTTGGTAGGTATTGTGGCTAAGCCTAGCTCAAGTCAAATCGTGCTTATTGCAGGTCCGGTTTGAACCGGTTTTAGGCTCAAAAAAAGTTTGTTCAAGCTTGGTAATATTGTCAGATGGTCCGATCCGTACTCTAATCCATGAACAAGTCTAATTGCCTAATTGGTCCCTAAAGTTGTTGCATTTTTTCTCTTGAGCATTACTTTTAGAAAAATTGCATTGTTTAATAGATAAAATTTGAAAAACTTTTGGGGGTAGAAAATATATTTTTTAAGTGATAATGATGATAAATGCCACGCGAGACGATTTGAATCTCTACCCTGACCTTAACTGATTCTAAAAATATGTTTAAAAATATTATATTTTCTTAATATAAATAAATTTTATAGTAATGAAAATATATAATTATTATATATGCTATAATAATAATATTACAATATTTTCCAAAAAAAAATTACAATATGTGATATAAGTATACATACTCGTAAATATATAAAATTTTACATATATTTAATGATAATATATAAAATAAAATAATTTCTTAATAATGTAAAATTAATTGGATAACATATGTAATTTACTCTGTTCCTGGGTAAGGTAATAAACAGGAATTGCTGATTACTATACATGTAAAATATTAAATAACAATTAGAAATATAATTATTTTTTTTACAAAAAATATTTATTCCTAGTATAGTTAGGTGTTTACCTTTGAATATTTGTCGATTTAATGTTACATAAATAAAAGTATTAGTAAAAAATTTATAAATACTTTTCATAATAATAATTTATTAATAATATCTTTATCATATTTTAATGATTATTTTATTTTTTTATAAAATAATTAATTTAACAAAAGTTCATTGATAATAATTCTCAGTAACATGAGCTAGCAACTGTTGTCTGTTGATCCTTTTAACATACCAAATACATTAGAATCACTCTTACATAACCCTTTGTTTGGAAGGGGAGAGAAAAATATTGGAGAAAGGAAAATAGTAGAGAAATTATCAATTTTCTTTTCATAATTATTTTTCATTTTAGCATTTGAATATAATGATAGAAAGAAAATAAATTTATTTTCCTCTGTTTGAAAGGGTAAAATATTAAAGGAAAAAACATGTAATTATTGATAATTGACAATTATATCCTCACTTAAATAATGGAATAGTAAAAAATGGTTAAAGTTTAATAATTAACTTGAAGCATTTGGATAATTAAATAAAAATAGTAAAAATATCACTTTTATCCATTATTTTCTCTTTAAATTAGAAAGATTCAAAACATGTAGATCCAGATAATAAATAAATAAAATATTACTCTTTTAATTTTTTTTCTTCCTCTTTGTTAAATAAAGAAAAATATTATTTTCTAGATATTTTTATTGTTATTTTTTTTTGATTCGGAGAAAAAAAAATTACTTCCATCTAGACAAAGAGCAGGTGACTCGATTGTGGAAAAGCTTCTCAAGCGTGTCGAATAGATGGACTGCCTGTAGGACCTATTCAAACAGTATTTTCACGTAGTTTTTCTAATTTTATTTTTTATATTATTCAAATTTATATTAATATTTAAAATTTAAAATAACTAATTATAAAATATTATTCTTTTTAATATTTGATAAAATACTAATTAAATAGCTGATAATTACTACACAATTAACGGCTATTAAATAAGAACACATCCAATATTAAATCGAGCTTTTCTTGGTTTCAATAAGAAAATATGTTAAAATATCTACCGGATACACCGACAGTGGCATTATTGTAATAAGAATGTAATCCAACTTCCACTTTGCCCATCAATAGTTGTATGGTCAGTCAACGCAATTCTTAGACCTCTGGAAATTCCAATGGCCAAATTGAACTTTACCGTTGCCTCATAGAGATTGAGTGATGGGGGACGAATAATCAAATTGACTTTCTAAACCGTAATTTCTGGCTTTTTTTTTTTCAATTTTTTTGTATATGGAATGAGAGACAATTATATTTTTTGACTCTTTCAATAATAATAATAATAATAAAAAAATGAAATGATAATTGGCACATGAAGAATACACCTCTTGCTTAAAAAAGACAAGGTTGGTGGAAATTTTATGTGCGCATATAGATAATTTGTGGCTAAAAATTAATATACAAGCTTTATGAAAATTTAATTTCAAATCTAATAGTGTCTGGTAAATCCAAGTTGAAGGTGGTGGAAGACCTTTTCAAACCCATCTTTCACATCTCCAATATTGCTATTTATCACACATCATTGAGTCTTTTCACTTTCAAGTTTCAAGTTGCTAATCTTTTTTATTTTTTATTTTTTATTTGTTGAAATTTGTCTCAAATTTCTACAAGGATAACAACTTTGATTTTCAACATAAAATTTTTAATAAAATTACAAATTTTAACAGCTATGATGTTGTCCTTCAAATAATATATTTAGGGGCGAAACGGGCACATACTAGCCATTCTTAATAAAAAAAAAATTGTATTTTGATCCTCTAAATTTAAAAAATTAGTGATTCTATCCAAAATAAGTTTTAAAATTATATTTCACCCTCCAAATTTAGAGTTTTAGAGTAACATTGATAAAAATTTAAGTGTATAATTACAAATTCAACAAATTATACTATAAATATATAAAGAGCAGAATTACAAGTTTATGAAAAATGGGAATAGGGGTTCAAATACTTACACTCTGTTTGGAAAGAAGAGGAATCAAAATAATGAAGGAATCAAAATAACGAAAGAAAATAATGATAAATTGTTAATTTTCTTTCTGTTCTTATTTTTCACCCTCGCATTTGAACAATGAAGGAAAATAATTTTTTTTTTCCTTTGTTTGCAAAAAGTAAAATTTTAGAGGAAAAAAAATATTAATATTGATATCTTATCATTTTACCCTCACTTATCCTTTTAGAGAAATGATTTTATAATTTCAATATTTAGTTAAAAGTAGTTTGAGTATTTGGGTAATTGCATATAAAAAATGGGAGAAACTTCAATATTTCACCATTATTTTTTCTCGCAAACAGAGAGATTCTATTTAGTGAGATGGGGAGAAAAAGAAATTAAATTTTCGTTCTTTCATTATTTTTTTTTCTTTTCCAAACAAAATAAAATTACCTTTCACAATTATTTTCCTCAGTTATTTTGATTCTTAAAAAAATAACCTCCATCCAAAAAGGAGCGTTAAAGTCCGTTGCGCAATATATTATACAACCAATCTCCATTTAAAAAAAAAAAAAAAAAGGTTATATAATTAATTCCTTTAGATATGGAAAATGGGGAGACAACGTACGTAGTAGAAGCGAACCAAACGTCGATGAGGACGTTGTCAGGGATTAGACAATTATGGTTTACACACCACTCGAATACAAATATCACGTTTGGATTGTCCCATTTTGTTGCTCTAGGAAAAGAACATGGTTTGGTAATTTATCAATAAAACCCCCTTTGCTTAATTCAGATTCAATTCATGCACTACTTATACAATATATCAATTAATTTTAATTTTTAGATCAAACTGTAAAAACTAATTAAAATATATACACGGATAATTCTTTTTAATTCTATTAAAAATATGAAAATAATATAATTAAATGGATAACTATATTCACATTAACTAAACATAATTGACAGGGTAAGAATTCAATTAACTAAACCGAATATATTCTTATGATAATTGAGTTAGCTATTTTGAAGTTAAAAAAAAAAAAAATTGGTTAGTTATATACGGTAACCGAATCAAAAACTCAAATAGTTTTCTATATTCAAATCGATTGATAATCAAAATTTTTAAAACAACTATTTAAATTTAAAATGGATAAGTTTAGTTCAATTTTTAGTTAAAAATTAGAGCCTTGCTTACCCTTAATAATTGATAACTAATAGCGGTTGTTAGTTGTTAACTGATTATTTAGTGTTTGATAAAATTTTAATAATGATTTTTGTTAAAGTATGAATTCACCATTGATAATAATGTGAATATATATTTTTTAATGTGTTAAATAAATAAAAAGTATAATCAATTACTTTATAATAATATTTAAAAATTATTTATTATTTTTGTAATAATTATAAATAAAATTATTAATTTGAAAAATTAATCTTAATATTCATTATTTATAAGATTATTAGTGTCCAAATATAATATAAAAATAAATCATTTTGCAACATCTGATTATAATCTTTATAATAATTTTTTTTAAGGGAAGATTTTTTTTTTTAAAGTATAATCATTACTTTATAATAATATTTAAATTATTTATTATTTTTTGTAATAATTATAAATAAAATTTATTAATTTGAAAAATTAATCTTAATATTCATTATTTAAAGATTATTAGTGTCCAGTCCAAATATAATATAAAAATAAATCATTTTGCAACATCTGATTATAATCTTTATAATAATTTTTTTTAAGGGAAGATTTTTTTTTTTTCGGTTTGTTTGTTTGCATTATAAATTCCGCAACACGTTTCAGGACCAACTCTTTAAGGCCTCACGTTTAATTTCAAAAAAGCCAATACTCAACTCAATTTGCCCTTTTTGCCCTCCTCTTCTATTCTCTGTTCTGACTTCTGAGTTATGGTCTCTCCAAAACACTTCCCATACCATTAACTAAAACCACCGCCCACTTCTCCCATTGGATTATAATATAAATAATTATTATTTTATTCATTTATTTTCATTTTTGACCTTTGAAAATTTTGACCTTCTTTCTGTCATGACTTTCCACTTCTCAACCTATATATTCATATTAAGCATTTCATGTTTCTTTATTCTCACCATTGCCACTGCGATTTCAAGAAAGTCTTCCTTGTTCACACTTTTGCAAGAAAATGAGCGGTTCAAGAACTACTACGACAGCTGAAACAGCAAACAGCCTAAATACAAAGGAGTTCGCCGGAGAAAAGGTGGGGGAAATGGGTTTCGGAGATAAAGAGTTTCCCGGAACACAAAGGCGGCTTTGCTGGTTAGGTTCTCTTTATTCTTCCCCCGGAGGCAGGCTGCGGTGAGTTCGCCGGAGAAAGTGGGGGAAATGGGTTTCGGAGATAAGAGTTCCCGGAACACAAAGGCGGCTCTGGTTAGGTTCTTATTCTTCCCCGGAGGCAGCTGCGGTGGCTCATGATATAGCTTCTTATTGTTTAAGAGGACACTCGTCCATCGACAGCTTAAATTTTCCCGATTTAATGTTGCCCGCGAGTGTAAGAGGGGACATGTCCCCTACGTCTATACAGAAAGCAGCTTCAGATGCTGGTATGGCGGTTGATGCGCAGATGATAATGAACAGAGTTGGGTCTTCTGATAATGAAGTTAATGGAAATGGTGCAGTTCTTGGTTCTGAGACAGAGCAGCTCGAGTGGGGAGATGTTGGTGGTGATGGTGGTCGTGGGAATTGGAGTGGCAGTGGAAGTCAGTCCAGAGATAGTGGAGACAGTTTAAACATTTCTGTTGAAGATTACTATTTTTAGTTTCTTATTATCTAGATTAAAAATGGTGATCTCTTTATAGATATAGCCTTTCGATGTGTATATACTATTTAGCTATATATATCAATATGATATGATTATGTATTTGATAATTTGAGCTTTCTTTCAAAATGATCCAACGGCTAGGAATAAATTTGACACGATATTTAGAAGATAATTTTTAAATATATTTTGTTAAACAAAAAAAAAAAATCTCAAGTGCAAGTTGAGTATAAAATTGTATCAAATATTATAGTTGCTTATAGAAAGAATTCTATAAATAAATAAAAAATGAAATTCACAGGAAAAAAAATCAATTCTAATTAAAAGTTCTCCAAAGATTGTCTTCGGCAAAAGCTTTTAGCGCTTTAACTAAACACTGTTTTTTTAGAGTATTCGATAACATAATGTCTGAATTAACTTTTTTAGATTAGATGTTAATATAATATTTTATAGTAAAAAGTCAATCTATGTAAAATTTAACTTCTAGCATTTTATGAAAAACTATTTAAATATTTTTTAACTAAATAAACAGTTAAAAACTATTAAAATAACTAACAATTATCAAAAATAAATTTTTACCCAACATACTCAAATAGTTGCTCGCAAAAAAGAAGTCTACAAATATATTTTCTTCGTTTCATATAGGTTCCACAATCTTTAATAGTAGCCACATGACCAAGAAAATTATAATGAAAGATGTTTTCGATTCGTCGAGAACTCATACATCAAATCAATAATTAATTGCTATTTTTTATAGTATTCGGTAACATAACGCTATTTTTGAACTATTAGTAGCCATAATTTTTGACTAAATGCTATTTTTTTTATAATATTCAGTAACATAACGTCTGAATTAGCTTTTTAGATTAGAGGTTAATATAATATTTGATAGTAAAAAGTCAATCTATGTAAAATTTAACTTCTAGCATTTTATGAGAAACTATTTAAATAGTTTTTAACTAAACAAACAGTTAAAAACTATTAAAATAACTAACAGTTATCAAAAATAAATTTTTACCGAACATACTCAAATAGTTGCTCACAAAAAAAAAGTCTACAAATATATTTTCTTCATTTCGTATAGGTTCTACAATCTTTAATAGTAGCCACATGACCAAGAAAATTATAATGAAAGATGTTTTCGATTCGTGGACAATTCATACATCAAATCAATAATTATTTGCTATTTAAAAAATTGATCTTATTATTATTATTATTATTATTTTATCTTTTTTATAAAAATATGGATACTTTTCTTTATCAAATGTTTTATTTTGTTCACTTTTTTTTCTTAATGGATATTTTGTTGACTTAATATATTTGTATATATTTATATTCTGAAATCCGAACCGGATTTAATTAAGAGTAAATAAAATATGTACATGTAAATTTAAGAAAATTAATTAATTTACTTTTAACGGATAATTTCACTGAAATTGCAACACGTGAACATTATCCTGTTATTTATTTATTTATTGGGAGTGGAAAATAAATTTGCTATTGACTTCACTAATTTCCAGCCGACTCATTTTACCAAAATTTTGAAAATTTATTTTGGCCAATAAAATGTACCTGGGACATAAAAACATAAGATATTAATGTCATTTCACATCAAATCCAGGTGTACTGAATGGATTTTCCAATACCCTTTGACGGTTTCAGCCTTGAAAAGGACTTTCTTCAAATGCATGCATCATGCATGGCCTCATCAAATATCCGTAGCTGCGATTTGTACTTCTGCCGCAGTCCCTGTGCTTTTTATAAAAAATACTGTGAGATTTTAATTTTTATTTCGATATATTAAACACTTATTTTATAGAATTATATTAATTAAAATATTTAAATTTGTAAAAATTATTTTATTAAATTTTTAAAATTAGATCAATTAAATATTTATTAGATAGTTGAAAAATATAAAAATTATTATTATAAAAATTATACTTATATATTAAGTAAATTGAACACTCATCTCTAAATATATCCTTTAATTAGAAATGTACTTTATCGATCAGGTGTGATCTTCTCACTTATGTGAGAAGTGAGAGGTCTCGAATTTATAGTCCTCTTAACCTCTGTAGTTTTACCAATTTAATGAATTAAAGAGAAAATTATCTATATTATATAGTCTATAGTATTATTTTGATCCATTGGAATTTCTTAATAAATAAAAAAAAGTACAAGTGCACTTTAATAACCTAAAAAATGGGCTATTGACTTGTGAATTTGCTTCTCATTTGTCGATATTAATACCTCCTTAGTACAAGTGAATTTTTGGTCAATAATATTAATTATCTTATCCACAAATAATCCTAGTCCTATATGATTGGATAACATAATATACTTCGATTCATCAAAATTAAAATTTGAGATTACAAAAGAAAGATTACGGTTAAATATAAATATAATTTTAAATTATATTTAAAAATAATAAAGAGCTACTCAAATAATAAAATATAATTAAATTTAACGAACAAGCTTATCTGGCAACTATAAATGCTTATTTCTTGCAAGGGGCAGACCATGTCCAAAGTCTTCTTTTACCTTAAAATCTCAATCAGTCAAACAGGTATAGAGTTGACAGATTATCCAATCATACATTAATTAATAGATGTGAGCTCATATTAATGACTCACTGCTCCTTCTAACCTTGACTTGTCATCGTCAATTAGTACTTTCTAATTAGCCTCCAAAATTTATTCAATGCATTCTTTTTTCGAATTCTTTTTTATTATTTAGGTGATTTTTTTTTATTTGAATATTTGGAGAATATTCAAATTTATTATGAAGTTGTGAAATTGTAATTAATTCTTTTTTATTATTTGGGTGACTTTTTTTTATTTGAATATTTGGAGAATATTCGTACCTGGATCTATTACGAAGTTGTGAAGTCGTAATCTATTATGAGGTCGTGTACGCTATTTGAATGACTTTAATATATTTAATAAGTATATGTGAAGTCGTAATCTATTTATGAGGTCGTGTACGCTATTTGAATGGACCTTTAATATATTTAATAAGTATATATATATATTATATATATTATATATATATATATATATAAATTTTATTATTAAGGTAAAAAAAAGGGTGTGCAAATTAAAATTCTTCATGTGTTTTACAGGAATATTATATTAATTTTATTATTAAGGTAAAAAAAAAGGGGTGCAAATTAAAATTTCTTTTCATGTGTTTACAGAATATATATTTCAACTGCAAACCGGATCTACTACAAACCGCCTAAAGCCGAGTTAAATCAAACCAAATAAAGTTCATAAATCTAAATTTTTATTTTAACATTGAACAAATCACAAAAAAAATCCCCACTTATTCATCAAATTTCACAAAAATTCCAAACTGATGCCTCAAAACACATATTTTGTTTGATCTCTTTTTCCCCAATAAGTATACAAACAAGACCCTCTAAAAGAAGATCCTAATTACATAATTCACTTGGCCAAAGGCTTCTTCTTTTATTCAAGTTTCTGCATCTGCAGGAGACTGTGGTTGTTGAAGCTAACAGGACCGGTAAGAAGTTTCCTAGGAGAGCTTCCTTCAATCATAGGTCTTCCGGTGCCTACAAGAGAAGTTCTTCTTGCGCTATGCCCCGATAGCAGTAACCGAAATGCCCAGTTGAGAACACTTGGTGCAAAAACCCTATACAGAAGGAATACATCATACCAGCTTGGAAATTTCACATAATGATTCCCTCGGCAAGCCCCGGATACTATCAACTTTGCATACTCTTCCACCGGACCACCAGCCGCTTGTACCTAAGATAAAAATGTGATTAGTTTAGAGTATATAATAGTAACTTTAGTAGCCGAGCAATCAATGTGTATATAACATTCTATTAGTTGATCACTTAAGGTTACGAATATTGACAGAACCATGTTGATGAGGTCCTATGTTTAGAATGGTGCAGATATAAAAGCTATTGAGTAAAGACTTGCCTCTCTTTCTTCTATCCATTGCATCTCTGCACCCTCCTCTATCCGGAACTTTCCTCTGCTCATTTCGCTTCCAATCCAACCATGCGTTGCGATTGTTATTCCAATATCATCATTCAATTCGAATCTCAGTGTCTCATAGAAGTTTATCAAAGCAGCTTTTGCAGCCTGCCACAAAATGAAAAATGCACATTATAGAAAATTAAGAAGAGAAGAAAAAGATTTTAAAGAGGAAAAACATCAATTTCTGTTTAATTTAATTTCTTTTTTGTTGCTCAAATATTCGGCTAATATCTATAAGATACTAATATACATATATATAGACGATCCCAATTAGTTTAGAATTAAGATTTAGGTGATATTCAGTTGGAAGCAAGTACACGAACTTTCCGGAGAATTCAAAAGTGTTTTTGTTTGGTGTATGTTATCAATTATACTTTTCAGAAAATATGTCACCCAACTTCCCTCGTCAAGAGAAGTAACTTTCTCAAGAATAGCCAGAGAAATGCAATTAAGTACTATGAACTTAGCAATTTATGTTATTATTTAAATACATTCAAATTTATGTTATGCATATTATTGTCTTTTGTAACTCTAGAGCAATTTACTTCCTGAAAATTATAAAATAATTTCCTTAGAGATGTTCTTTCTCGAAACCAAAGAGTCTTGTTCACTACGACTCCTTTTTCTTTTTCTTTTTTTTTCACCTCTTTTGACAACTAAAATGTACGTAGTCTCATCTGCTAACTAATGTTATAAAAACAGAACTCACTTTTTTTATGATTTGCAGGACAACTAAATATCATAAACTAAATGATTGCATTTCAAATAAATAATAGAAGTAACAATAATCCGAACACTATATATTACTCACAGCATATAAGCTCATTCTTGGCAGAGGTAACCAGTTCTCAATCGCGGCATTAACAATGATTCGCCCGTTCGTTTGATGAAGATAAGGAAGAGCAACAAAAGTCGGATACACATTTCCCCAAAAATTTATGTCCTGAAAATCAACAATTGATTCCACAATATTTCAGGACTAATTTCTAATAAAAACAAGTGCATATAATACTATACTAGCACAAGTTCAAACTTTTCATATTATCTTCAAAAACACAATAGCATTTACAATCCTAATTACCAGCAAATGTGGGAACACAGAGGTATCTGTAACTTCTTCCATATAAAATGTGTGTCCAAGACTTGCCGTATTGACTAGATGATCCACTGCATATCGAAAAATATAATCATCAGACAGTATAATCTGTTCATTTTTTGAAAAGAATAATGCCCAATTTACCTAAATTTGATCATGAATGTATAATTTACCCAAGATTGAGTTTAGTTCTTGGATCAATTTTAACAAAAACATCCAATTTAGGCTCATTTTTTACCGAAACAAGAATAGGCAGCGCGTTTGAGCTGAGAGAAAATCATGTTAGTCGCTTTTCTTATTGTGTGTTTCTCAGGTGCACTAAACAGTCAAACAAGCCAAATTTCGTGTTGAGATCGATCCAAAAGATGAATTTCGGGTAAATTACAGGTTACATATATGAATACAGAATACCTCGTCCATAGAAGTTTATGGTCTCATTGACAAATCTCCGACAATCATCTTCCTTGACAACATCTGCAGCTATAATAGTAACATGTTTTGCACCGACTTGTCTAGCTTTCTCACTAATCCCTCGGAGTCTGTGTTCTCTCCTTGCAATCAATACAAGATTTGCTTTTCTTTTTGCATATTCATATGCAATTTGCTGACATTAATATTGCAATTATCAATTTCTGATTTTGACCCACCAGAAAAAATGTAATATTGAACCAAAATTGAGTTTAGGAAAGTGGGAATCCATTCCCATTTCAATCTTTTTAAAAGTTGTTCATCCAAAATAATTACTGTGAGAAAACCTTAAACAACAGATAAAACTGTATGGAGGGAGTACTAATTAAGGTAAATCAAAGCATAAAAATACAATTAATTAAGAAAGAACGAAAGAAAGAATGAAGAGAAGGTAAGAAATTTACCTCTCCTATACCAGAAGAAGCACCGGTGACAATAACCACTTTATCTTCCATATTTTCACTGATAAAAGATTTATAAAACCACTCACAAGTATTTATAAAGCACACGGCAGGCCATGCACAAGCCAACATCACTAAACTTGCAGGAGGCACAACCCAGTTCAACACAGAATTCACAAAATCCATCTTAATTTGTTAATTTTAAGAGGAAACAAAGAGAAGGGGAGAAAAAACACAGCAGCAGATAGGTATTGTTTGATCTAATTAAGGGCTTGATTGGTTTCAGACATTATTAACAACATGCAAGAAGGATTATAAGTACACGTGGTGGCTGTAGAGCTGAAGCAAATGACGAATGGAAGAGTTGTTTGGATGTTCTTGCATGATAATAAATAACCATGCATTATGTCTTTACTGAAAGATGGCACCATCTTCATTTCTTCGAGAGACACCTGTTCTTTTTTTCTGTACTTTTGAGTTTAACATTTTCTATGTCCAGGATTAGAATTTTAAGAATGGATAACAGGATAAGGAGAGAAAGAAGATAATATAACGGAGAGACACCTGTTCTTTTTTCTGTTACTTTTTGAGTTTAACATTTTCTATGTCCAGGATTAGGAAATTTTAGAATGGAATAACAGGGATAAGGAGAGAAGAATGATAAATATATATATATATATATATTATATATATATATATTATATCCCTTGTTTTCACCAAAGTATTGTCCAGGTCCTAACAACTTCTTCTGGCAATTTTCTCTTAATTTATTATATCTTTCTTTTTTCGGTATATATGCGAAATTTTTAAAAGAAATCCAAGGCATTCAGCTAATGAGAAATATTGTTTTTACAATCCAATTTACTTAAAATTATAATTGAAAACGAAAAATTAAAATTGAAATTCTTTAACTATTAGTAATTAGTTGGTTTTTCTTACTTTTTCTCATGAACGTTAAAAAGTAAAAAGGTCTTCGCGAAGATTTAATTTCTTTTCATTGTTTAGAGTTTTCACCAATCTGTTGAATATACGGGAAAACTACGTACTCTTTCTATTGCATAAAAAACTAAATAATATTTGATTCATTTTGCTTCTAAAAACATTGAAAATTAAAATAAAGGGGCATAATTATATTTGTGGTGTATAAATATATTATATCCCTTGTTTCATCCAAAGTATTGTCCAGTTCCTAACAAACTTCTCTGGCATTTCTCTTAATTTATTATTATCTTCTTTTTTCGGTATATATGCGAAATTTTTAAAAGAAATCCAAGCATTCAGCTAATGAAATATTGTTTTTACAATCCAATTTACTTAAAATTATAATTGAAATACGAAAAATTAAAATTGAAATTCTTTAACTATTAGTTAATTTAGTTGGTTTTCTTACTTTTTCTATGAACGTAAAAAGTAAAAGGTCTCGAGATTAAATTCTTTTCATTGTTAGAGTTTTCACCAATCTGTTGAATATACGGAAAAGCTACGTACTCTCTATTGCATAACTATAATATTTGATTCATTTTGCTTCTAATGAATTAAAATAAAGGGATAATTATATTTGTGGTGTATAAATTTTTTAATTTGTTTATTTTAATGTCTAAATATGAAAAATTTGCAATTGAACTATTAAAACACACGTAATCAAATGTATTTAGCTGGATTGTTTTTCCGAAAGGTTACAATTTACCATTTAACTCTGACCTATGATATTCAAACATAAAACATTTAATCAATCCACCTCTCTTTTTTCATTTATTTTTTTAAAAATTTTTTATTGCCTTGTATCTCTTTTTTAAAAGAAAATCATAAATACTCTTTTCAATTCTAAAATAAAATGAAAGAGAAAAAAAAAGAGAGTAACAATCTAGGAAAATAAAAAAAGTAAAATAATGAGATCAAATACTTTAATTTCATTTTTCACTAAGAAATTCCAGTTAAATGCGCTTAATTATTTAAAATTTTAATTGTAAGTTTTTTCAATTTAAATACGAAAAATAGAAAAATTAAAAGTTTAAACACTAAAAATATAATTAACTCTAAAATAAATAAATAAGTGCCCAGAGATTACTCAAAGTAATTGCCAGATCAAATTTTTTTTTTTTTAATTGAAATAATATTATTTCTTGTGAATAATATTGTTAATGTGATTGTTTAACCAAAATATTAACAAAAAAGACTTATATCCAGTTTAATTATTAACAAAATATACTCTTCTTATACAATCTTAATTAATTAGATAAAATTAAAAATATCTTTTTTTAGGTCATAATTGAAATATCATTAGAAATTTGACAAAATCAAACATCCAACAAATAACTATACATCCATAATAATTTACACAAAACAACAAATACCCTATCTATCATACCATTGGGGTTTGGTTGACTACAAAAACTTATGAGTTTGAGGAACATTTGGGCCGCCATTCCACATTGGGCTGAACCCTAAAAAAAATGGGAAGTCACGTTTTTTAATACTAACAATATAAATAGCTAAATTTTTCAATACTGCGCAACAAGTGAGTAGTGTACCATACATACCCTCCCATTTCAACTACATTTAATACCCAGCAAGTCTCAGATTTCACTAACACAAAGCATTTATTAAAACAAGCGGAAAAAGATCTCCTTGTCTCATTTATGTAAGTTTATCATATTATCCCTCAGTCTCGGTCTCAAAATGTAAGTCATTTAAAATTTTACAAAAAAATTAAAAAATCAATTAATTTTCCTAGATTATAACAACCTTAAAAATAATTTAACTAAATTAACCTTTATCTCAACTCATAGTTACTTGTGAAAATATTTATTATATCTAAGGTAAATAAAGATAATATAGAAAAAACATCATTTATTATTCTTTAAAATACTCAAAATAACTTATATTTTAGACCTAATAATCACCCCAATACGACTAATATTACAAACTAGTTCAATAGAGACCTGGACTGACTAGAAATTAAAGAGCAAGAAATGAAATCAGAGGGTAAAACTGCAAATTGTAACACAACTTGCGAGGTTTGATTGAGCAGATGCACATACAGTTCCATGTGTGTAGAATCAACATTACACAAGTACCTTGATAAGACAAGCAATTAGGTTAACAGTTTTTTAACAGCAGAGACCCGAGAAGCGAGCATTCAGAAACTGCAAGAAGCCATTATATATATACAAGGCATTTGCTCAGGTATAACACTTTCTTCATCATCTTATGGTTAAACGAATTCCCATCTTAATTCTTGCTAGCTGGTCTCATCAGGCTATCAACAATTAATTTCCATACTAAAAGAAAGATTAATAGCACGAATTTACATCTTGTCTACTATAACAACTATCAGGTGCAAAGTATGAAACTAAAAACCCAAAACGACAATATAATAATGAGGATACCAATACCAGGAAAATAGAATACCCTCAAGCATCCAAATTAAGAGCATCATAAACTCTTTAAGGACTTTCACTACAGAGGAACGCGGGCACTGCAAATCAACAGACAAGAGAACCATTGAATGCAAAATAATACTAACGATCAACACTAAAAACTATTCTTAAATTGAAGACTAGCTTTTTAAGATGAACATACAAACAGGTCATCCAGAAGACCTTCAGAAATACAAATCACAGCGAAACTAAACTAAACCTTCCATCCAGTTACAAACTACCATCACAAGATTAGAATTGCAAAAATATTCAACGCGAATGTAGTTAAATGTGACTGCACTACCTCAACAGTTGTTTTGAATCCAACAGTCAGTCATCACCTGCTAGTTTTCCTGAAAACAATTCGTGGCAGTTCCATCTCTAGCAAATTTCCTGCTGTCTATCTACGTTCTTTATTCCTACAAGGGCTGGCCTCATTTCTCTTGCCATAGTAAAGTTGGTCTGCATTTTTTCATGCCAATTAGATTTGACCAAACAAGTGTTTTACAAAGAACAAATGACACGTTGGGTTAAGTTCTGTAAACAGTAAAACTGGTATACTTAATCAAGCTGTATAGGTTTTCAGCTCACATTCTCGTCTAAGACAAGTTTGGAAGACCTTACTCACCAAACACATAAGGCGAAAATCAATTTCAATTTAAAATTTAGGCTTTGTAATCAGACATCAGAATTTATTACGGAAAAAAAAAATTAAAATTGAATTAAACCCCAAATTCCACACAAACACCTATTGGCCAACATACCCCAACTTGATTAAGTAACAAGATCTTGAACCCAATCCCGAGGAACCCTCAAACTGGTGTAATCCATTATTCATTTACAAAGATTGAAATCAACTCCAAATTTGCAAACATGGAAAAGAGTTAAAACACAGTCTAGCTAACTTGTTATAATCCTAGAGACTAGAGTCCATTACATGTACCCATCTAGCCACCTGAACAAGCTAGCAAATTAATATTCTCAATAGGTTAGATCTATGAACCTATAGACCAATTCACCACCACAAAGCAAGAAACAGTAGCTACAATGTTCAAACCTATCAAATAAACTTTCATAGTTTAATTCAATTGGCAAGATAGACAAAAAGAAAAAGAACAAAGTGTAACAGAACATAGCATAAGCAATCAACCAAATAGAAACATTTAACAGCAACAAACACAAAGTATTCCGCCATGTAGAATTACAAGAAACAGGAATGACCTAAATTACCAAAAACAGAAAGAAAATTAAACATTGTAGCAGAAAATCATTCAAAATCCAAAAAATACAGATACTATTAAAAGTTTCATGATTACCATATCCTAAACACAGAACAAACAAATCTAACATTTCTTTCCCAAATAACATCAACTTCAACGATTTAAGCCACAGTTTATACCTTCAAAAGGTCTACCCTACTCAGTCTTATATGCTGCCAACATGAGCTTTGCTTGCTCCCTTATCAACTCATTCCGCTTCAGAAACAATTCCAACTCGGCCACATGCAACTCTCTCCACTTTTCTTCCATCTCAGCTTTTTTGGCACCATCAAGCATATCCAGTCCCCTTTTAACCACAAAATCCTCCATTCCTGAAACACTCACACCCTTATCAAACTCAGAAATCTGTTTCAAACCAGAATGGCTCTCCTTCTTGTCAACCTTTTCCGCCTCCTTGTCCACATCCGAACCCAAACCCAATTCTGCCTTCAATGCAGCCAAACCCTTACCTTTGGAATTATTATTGTTAATTGCTTTGCCATTTGACTTGACGCTCGATTCCACTCCTGCTGCACTACCCCATATCCTTTTCGACAAATCAAAGGATTTTTGGTCATGAGGCTTGGAAAATGTTTTATCTTCACCCTTTTTGCCTTTGGTCACATGGTTCTCAAACTTCTTCTTTAGTCTTGATACTTTATCTTTCAGCTGGCTTAAAGAGACGTCAAAGTGCAGCGATTTCTTAATATATTCAAAAAATGAGGTCATATCCTTTGCAGGATCAACTCCTTTCTTTTCAGCATATTCAATTAACCCTTCTAGCACCGCAATCTCATCATCCTCACTCCAAAGCCTTTGAAAGAGTTGTTTCTTTGTATCCTCCGACTTTTCAACAACTCCATCAGACTCCGATTCCTTCTTCTTGGGCCGTTTTGAGTCTTTCGGGTCACGATCCGCTTCACTAACCCTTTTCACTGCCACAATTGATTTAGTGACAGATGAAGTAGATGCCGAGGGTTTGGATCTAGACTTAGTGGTCTTGGTCGGAGTCTCTTCCATTGGCTTAGAAGCGATTGGCTTGACTGTGGCTTTCCCGTCATCCTCAGAATCAGAGTCAGACTCGGACTCGGAATCGGACTCAGCTCGCTGGGTGGTGGAATCGGGCTTTTTGACTGCTGGTTTGGGAGCTTGGGCCTGTGGTGGCTTTATTATTGGTGTTAAAGTTTCCTCTTCCTCAGACGAAGATCCTTCTTCCTCTTCTCCGTCTTCTTCTTCTCCACTGGACGTTTCTTCCTCTTCATCAGAAGAAGAAACGGGCGGTGGATTTTCCAAGGGTTTTGACCGTTTTGGTGCCATTGATATTGACGAAACAGTGAGTTAGGGTTTCAATTGAGTTGAAGAATCGGAGACGAGAGGACGTAGAGAGAGGGAGAGAGAGAAAAAGACAAGGAGGAGGGATTATATTTGGGGTGGAACAGTTGAAAATGAAAATTCCAAAACCCAAAGAGATTTCTGACCGTTGGATAATAAAACTCGCATCTTAGATTTAGCCGTCCGATTGGAAGAAATCGAAATCTAACTGCTTTGGAATATGGAATCTCGGTTTTCGATTTTGAATTATGCAGCCTAATACTTCCCTCCCATTCGTGTTTGGCTTGATCCATAAATTCTCTTAAATCTAATTTTAAGTAAAAAATTTATAAGTGAAATATTAATGGATAGACTTTATTAAAAAAAAATTTAAATTATAGGCTAATCTAAAACTACTTTCACCTCAATATAAATACATTAATAACAACAGCACTTATTTAAAAAAAATAAACTAAAAATATAAATATAAATTATACCTTTCTCCATTCTAATACATCAACTATACACCCGTTTAATGAAATAAAGTCATATTAATAATTTATTTTTTTATCCGGTCTACGTCAGTTAAACTAATGTAACTATGTTTCTTAACTCTAATCAAATTGGCTTCCTATCTCTAATCAAACTGGACAGGAGTTAAAAGCACAACTACTATTCCTATTTTATTTTTTCATTCCTTGGTATGAACGAGACAATAATTTAGAACATATGAAAAAAGAAAAATATGATAAAAATTATGAGATGAAGGGTGTATAAACATAAAAATAAATTACACCTAATAAATATTGATGAAATTAAAAAAATTATTAATATATTCTTAAAATTTTAAATAATCACATAAAGTGTCACAAAATAAAAATATTTATTTATTGTTATTAAAGGACATTTTATTGTTATTAAAGTAAAGTGGATGGAGTATAATTAAATTATTAAATTTGTAATATAAAAATGTTCTTAGCTCATCCTCAATTTAAAACTATTATTTAATTAAGGTGGATTCAGCTGAGTTGTTTCATAAAGCTGATTTGATTATATATATATATATATATATATTTCTTTACTCATCCTTCAATTTAAAAACTATTAAATTTAATTTAAGGTGGGATTCAGCTGAGTTGTTTCATTTTAAAGCTGAATTTGATTATATACTATATTATATATATATTTTTTTTTTTTTTTTCTTGTCGAAGGATTTTATATTTTTTGTCGAAAGGGATTTTATATTCGATTTTGACTTTGTTGGGTTTAGTTTAGTTATTGCTAAATGATAGTTGTTGCCCAATATTATTAATAACTAGTCGAAAATCGTACTTCGAGCGCGAACATTTAAATGTTATTTTATTAATTATTTGATTATATTATTATTTTTATAAATCATTATGCATTGTCAAATTGTTCGGTAGAATAATTGAAAATCTGTACTTGAAATAATTAATAATGGTTCAAAATGATTTGTAATAAAACAATGACATTATTTATAATAACATAATATTGTAATCAAGTTTCTTTATAGAAATAATCCCATGGTGAAAGAAGTAATCTATGTTGAGAATATTGCCAAAGACGATTGAAAAAAACTTGGTAAATTTCCTTATTAAAGATACTTAGATACTTGGAATTGATTTTAAATAATAGCGGGAGAAAATCTAGGAAATAAAATTATGTAGAGGAAATTTTTAAATATGAGAGATATCTAACCAAGTAATTATACAAATATCAAAATGAAATTTAAATTGGATTGGATTTGATCATAAAAAAAAATATTGAAATTTTTTTATTGAAAATTATAAATCCATGTTTGACATTGAATTTACATAAAACAAACAATGTAATAATGCAAAGGTTTATAAAAAAAAATATTGAAATTTTTTTATTGAAAATTATAAATCCATGTTTGACATTGAATTTACATAAAACAAACAATGTAATAATGCAAAGGTTTTGCTAGGGATGATTTGTTCAGCAAATTGTTTTAGTTAATTTTCTATTAACATTAAATAAATTTTAAAAAATAAATTAATCAATTAAAATATATAGATAAATGAAGAAACAATGTAAGTTTTTATACTAGACATGATCTCATCTCGATCAGCTTTAATTGCCTCCTCCCTTCTTGTCTTAATGTCTCAAGATAACCAAATTCTGTGGACCAAGATTTATGATCGGTGAATGAAATCAAATTTGAAAGAGCAATAAATAATAAAACAAAAATTTTAAATTGTAAAAGCAGAAGATAATAAAATAAATAACTCATGAAAATAGAACAATAAAAATATTAAATTGCAAAAGCAAAAGATAATAAATATATTAAATTTCAAAAGTAGAAGGTCAAAAAGAGTAAATATCTCGTAGCCAAACCAAAAATACGAAGAACTCATAAAAATCTAGTTATATGCTTGAATATATATATAGGTTTGAGATATGGATAAGAAAAAAATTGAATATTCTATATATAAATTTAAAGATTTAGGTGGATTAGATTAGCTGGGTAGATTAGATTACTTAAAAAAATGCAACACTCTGAACTATAAAATCAATCCTGTATCCCCCTAAATTTCACATTTTGTAATAATTTCATATCTCTTTATACTAAAAACAGCAAATTTTAAGGTTTTTTTGAATTTTATATGAAAATATTATTTTGATATGTGATTGGTATAACTTTTGGAACAATAATTTTACATATTTTAATTTTTTAGTAAGTGTTTCATCAATCTGATTTTATAAATTGAGGTGTTTAATGAGTCAAATAAATTATTTAATAGTTACGACTTTATAAGTTGAAGTGATCAAAATAAAAATTGAGGATGTCACAAGATTTTTTATGAAAAGTACGAGGGTAAATTTATGTATCATGCCATTTTAATATTGGTCTTGTTCAGTAACAACTTTTAAAAAAAAATTTTAGTTAAAATAATTTTTTTATTAATTATAGTATTCAGTAAAGCAATATATATAGTAGTTTTTAGATATAAAGGGAGAGTTTAATAAAACATTGTCCTACTTAATTTAAAATTTTGTAAATAATTTAATTGATAATTTTTTGACACTTATATTCATTAAATTTTTACAAATTAAGTTTTACTTGTGATATAAAGTTGCTGGCTTTACTTTTTTTTGTCATTTTAAATTTGATGGCTAACCAAATAATGACTTTTACCAACACTTTTATACTGTTATATAAAAACCTAAGTTAATACCTAACTACTAACTAAATTATATTGTTAGATAACTTGGAAAATCTATTTAGTGACAAACTTTATGGCTTGTGCTCTTTCTAAGAGCATTTTAGTGCTAACGTGGATTGTAGTTGATGTGTTATATGAAGTAAAAAGTGTGAATAGTGATGTGGCGCTGATTTATCATATGAAATAAAAGATGTGAACGGTAATGTAGCTGAATATATATTTATAGATGTTGAATTTTAAAAATATCTCTTCAATGCATTATTTTCAGATCATTTTTTCTTCTTTTTCTTTTATGGATCCATAATTTAATATGCAATCAATTACTATAGAGCAATAAATATCCTCATTGTGTAACAAACCCTCTAGAAATAAAAAGTGTAATAAATAATGCCTATTTATTTTTTGACATTTTAACTTGACATATTAAATAAATATTAACATTAAAGAATATTTTTCAAAATATTTTTTTATTTCGTGATAATTAAATAAGAGCAATCCAAGTCAGCGTGGTAGATGCTCTATCCAGGAATTATTGTGTAGAGCAATTGATTGGGCTAAATGTCCTAGAGTAATTAACTGACTCATTTGGGTTTACTAAATGTCCTAGAGCAAAAAACTAATAATAAATGAATGTAATCTTCTCGTGTTAAAAAAAAAAAAAAAAAAAAAAAAAACGTTTTTAATAAAAAAAAAAAAAAAAAAAAAAAATATTCAAGGGACTTAATCATAGGTTAAAAAAAAAAAAAAAAAAAAAAAAATTCAAGACTAATCATAGGCCCATATAGATTGGAATTCTCAAAGCCCAAACGATCAAAATGAATATGGGCCTTGGTGACTGACTCAAAACCTGTTCTTGAGTTCCATTCCTAGAGGTAAATGAAGAAGAAGAATTACCATATCAGCTCTGCTCATGACTGAGATTGAGACCGAGACTGAGAGCTCGCATACTCAGAATAGAAGAGAAAATGAAAGGTTTGTCTCTGTATCGGAGGAGTTATTTGGTTCTATTTAGAAGAGAAAGAGCACCAAATCAATCATATGCTTTGCTTCCTTCCACTTCCTTCTCTACTTATGACAATAGCAGCAACGATGATTTGCAGAATTCGAGGGTCAAGATCTTCGATCGCCACCTCAAACGCAAACAAGTAAATTCCACCTTCTTCTTCTTCTTCTTCTTCTTGAATTTGAATAGAATTAACGGACATTTCTGGCTAAAAGAATAGACTGATATGATATAGTAAGTATTGCTGAAAGACTTTTGTTGGGTACCTCTGCAAATTAATGGAGCTCTATTGCACTGGTTGAGGATAAAGGATTAGAAATGAATTTATTTATGATTATCGGTTTTAGTATTTGTCTAACTAAGTTAGCGTTTTGGTGGTAGCGTGACCGAGCTGCATGGCTGATGCGCCCAAATGATTGCTTAGTTGATGCTGTTGCTGAAAATCTATTGGATCGTTTGGAGGTTCGGATTTGTTTCTGCTTTACATGTTTTTTACCCTTATCTATTTGCACCATTGGAGGCTTCTGTATTTTTTTTTTCTGCTCCTCCCTGTATGACAGTATGAGGTAGCAATTGCATGGTACTGAACTTTTATTTTTTGGTTGAATTTTTGGGTGCTTGCCTTTTGTAGGATTGTAACAAAACATTCCCTTCTGCATTATGTTTAGGAGGTTCCTTGGAAGCTATCAGACGTTTGTTGCGTGGTCGCGGTATGAGTCCATTTTGCAAACTCTTCCACTCAGTTATGAGTAATGTAATGTATAATTTTGTAAATTTGCCGTTTAGTGCCTTTGCTTTTGCATAGATGGTTATCCTAAAAACCTAAATTTATGGCATTGCTATGGATATAGATAGTGACGGAGTCGGGAATTAAAGTTAGTGGGCTAAAAAATTTCAAGAATTAAGGGTGCGAAATTGAAAATATTTATTATTTTAGAGGGCAAAATAAAAAAATTTTTAATATTTTAATTTTTAAATTTTTTTTTCGTTTTTTTTGGGGGGGGGGTTATATTTTTTTAAATTTTTTTTTTTCGTTTTTTTTTGGGGGGTGGGGGGGGCGCTGTATACCCTCTAGCTCCGTCATATGGTAATAGAAGTGTCAAGGGGGGGGGGGGGGGGCTGTAGACCCTGCTAGCTCCGTCATTGGTAATAGAAGTGTCAATAAGCAAAAGACTTTCCATGTTGCATGTTTGTGCATGTATAGCTAAATGAACATGAAATATGTATTCTTACATTTGCTTGATCAGCATAAAACTTGTTTCTGGTTCGCTAAAACATTGTTTATGGTATGTTATCTGTTATATTGACATTGACTTCTAGTGCTAACTAGCATGACCTGGCAAACAATCTTGTAGAAGGTTGCCTTTCTGCCTGTTTTGTGTCTTAGATTTTATTGATACGAATACTTCTTTGGTCTCTTTAATGTCAGGCTCCATTGAAAAGCTCATAATGATGGATATGTCGTATGACATGATTAAAATGTGCAGAGACGCACCAAAAGATGCAAATGAAAATATCGAAACATCCTTTATTGTTGGTGATGAAGAGTTTCTTCCAATAAAAGAAAGGTCTATCTGTGTGTTTATGATTTGCATATATATTACAAATAAATGCCATCACTATAACGAGATTTGATTATAATTATAACATATTTTTTTGTTAATGTGAAGTTCGCTAGATTTGGTAATCAGTTGCTTGGGGCTTCACTGGACTAATGACCTTCCTGGAGCCATGATACAGGTTTGTGCTTCTTTATTGCATTATGTGTACATCTTTGGTCTGGTTTCAATAACATTTTCTGTCAGAATTTGGTAAAGCAAACAGGATGGGAAGTTTTTGAATCAGTGAAATGTGCATGAAAAAACCATAGGCAAAGGGTACATGTTTATGGAAGTGTCCTAGATGCACTTTGTCAAATATCTCTTCTTCATATCAACAATATGAAGAGAATAAAATTTTGCTTTAATTTACTCATCAAAAGGGAAAATTGGGGGGAAAAAGTGGTTTCCATTCTCTTTTTATAGACTCATATTGACTGTAGAATAAATCCAAATGAAGAGTAAATTAACAGATTATTTTTCAGTCACACTGCCAAAAATAGATGCACATTTATGCATGATTAGAGGGAAGCACAAACGGATGTTTGCTGAAGAGAATAACATTAAATGTGATTAAAATATAAACCCAAAGAAGGTTTTATAAACATTTGATTAGGCATTATAATGCTTACTAGAGAGCCTAGTGGTCTGAATTTCTTGGAGTAGCTTTTAGCAAATAGGATTACAAGCTAATGTATTGCCCTCCTCCCTTTTTCCTTTTTCTTTCCTTTGCATGAACAGTTGTATTGTCTTGAACACTTGAGAAAGCCATTGCATACAAAAGTCAATATTTTTGTGCTCTGAGTTGGTTAGATAGTTGATCATTTGCTTTTGCATAGTTTCCCATGCATGAAATGTGGTAAAATGATGTTTTCTTAATTTGGCATTTATTGCATTTTGGCTTGAACTCTGATCGAAATGATGGTATTGGAAGAACCATAGGTAGGTGTCCTGAAATTTGAAGGATGCATTTGCTTTTCTTTTGATGTTTCTTGGAGGCAGAGTGAGAAATGTTATGTTTCTTTTTTCGAAGATATGAATTGTACTGTTGTTAAAAGTGATGAATGTCCTCCAATAAACTTGAGAAATTTTTGAACATCAATTTTGTTTTTAGCTACCTTTTGTATGAATCTATCTGTTTCTTTCCAATTTGTACTTCCTCATTGTTTTTCCTTTTCAGGTGCAAACTCTTGTATATTATTCCTGTATTTGGGTTTCGCAACCCTTTTGAGATTCAATAGAAAAGGTAGTTGAAATACATTAGCACACACAATAAAAAATTAAAGGGATGTCCATGTGCATGTGCTCAGAGAGAGAGAGAGAGAGAGAGAGAGAGAGGGAATAGAAATACTCTATTTCTAGTGAAAATTAGGTATTCACTATAGCTGAAAATTTTCAGGCGTAAGCATTGAAGGTTGTGCTATTCTCCCTTGCTCTTTCTTTATTCCAACTTGTGTTTACTATATGGGCTCCAACGATGTATGATTGCATGGGTTGACACTCTAACCTTAGTCTTCTCTTCTATTTCAAGTATAATAAAATATGCAACATTTTCCATTTTGTTTTTCACTTTTTGTACTCATGCTCTGTTGTTATCAATATCGAGCATCTCTGCTGGCTCTATTGTTCAGTGTGAAATACAAATGTGGACATGTCTATGACACCTGTTCATTTCATGTATTTGTTACAGAGTAGATTGGCGCTGAAGCCAGATGGCCTATTTTTAGCAGCTATTCTGGGTGGAGAAACTTTGAAGTTGTTTATTTTTATTCCCTATATTCTTGTTTCCAAGTTTTGAAAGAAATATGCATAAATTTTCTTGCTTATTTTTCCGTGATTGTATCTGTGATCAGGGAGCTTAGAATAGCATGCACCGTGGCTCAAATGGAACGCGAAGGAGGCATCAGTCCTCGAATATCTCCTTTGGCACAAGTATGTACATGTTTCCATGATAATAATAAACGGCATATACTTTTTGGTGAAGTTTGGATACTAACACGCATGGGTGTGCACTTTCATGTGCTGTTAGTTTGACTTGAATTTTATTTTGTGGTTTAATAAACTTGTCCAATTGAGGCATGCAACATGCTTGGTATATTATAATCTTATTGTTTTTGTTCTTTTTTGGGGCTAGGGTGTTGCGAAAGCCCAATTTGCGGTGGTAGTGTAGCAGTCATAGGTAGTTAAAATTTTGTTTTTTCCCTTATTCTTCTCATTATTTTTAGTTATTTTCCTGTTGCTTTTGGGCGGGGTAGTCAAAAGTTACTTTTCTTTTTCCCTCTTCTCTACTTTTCATCTTAACCCTCAAGGGAAATATTCAACATTTTTCTTTAATATTTTGATAGGTCCGCGATGCAGGCAATCTGTTAACCAGGGCTGGCTTCACCCTTCCTGGTGTTGATGTTGACGAGTATGTGGTCAGGTATAAAAGTGGTGAGAAAATCCTCCTGATAAACATTGTTCCATAGTTCTGCTTGCTAGGATTTGCTAACCTGGATGATGGATGTATGCTAACATTAATGTCCATTATTGCTTTTCTGTATGGAATGTATATGAATGAAATTGCATCATTAACTGATGCATTGAAAATTCTTTTTAAAGCATCTAAGATATGGAACTGGACCTTTATGCTGAACTACTTGATTGTGAAATGTTGACTTCTCTTTCTACTTTCTCTTGCACAGTCTCTGTTAATTGATTCTTCTCTCCAAACTGTTTATGATAAGTTAGGTTCAATTCTTATTCCCACGACTACCTTACATTTGATAGAAAAGAATTGGCTTTTCATGTTGCCTTTATGCAATGCACTTAAATAGTTCTGAATTCTCCGTATATAGCTGTACTAGCTTGTACTTAGAACTAAGATTTTAATTCTTATTTGCAGATCATAGAAGTGCTTATTGTCTATCTTGCATTGTGACGAAATTTCTTTTTCCATTGTGGAAGAGATACTAAGCAGTGATGCTTTAGCTGGGTAAAGATATGTAAATAGGGCTAATCAGGTTAGGGCTATGGTGAAAGAAGTTCAAAAGTTGGTGGTGGACATTGGAAATCTTGTTACCTGAATAAGTGTTTTGGTTACTTCATAATAAATTCATTCTGGAATAGATTGAGATTGTTTCAGTTTTATCATATACTCAATTGGTCATGCTGTATATAATTATCACAAACTTGATTCTGTTCAACTTGGCTAATATTTAATTGGTTTACTATAAACTTGTTTGGTGTCTTCCCCTTTTCGTGTAGCATTTCAACACTTAAGTTTGCATGCCTCATATCTGTAGTACTCCATTTGGTCCGTCAACCGATATATAGTACCCTCTTTCATGTCTTGTTCTCTCTCCATCACTTCCAGGATATTTGGCATGATAGTTAAGTCAGATGAAGTCACCTAACAATGCTATATTTCCTAATTAAAATTCAGCTTATTTGAAGTGGTGGTAGTTAACTCTGCATATTCATTTTTCCAAAATCAAAGTTGGATGAACTTGGAACCAAGCTTGGTACAAACTGCTGCTGTCAAGTTGTGTATTGGGGCCTTGAGATTTGAGAAGGGGAATGTGTTATGCTAGCACCTCTTTGCATGGAGTTGCTGACCCTGAACCTGTAACCTGCAAGACTCACTATGCATTTGCTCATTACCTGATTTAATTCTTTGCTTTTTATTTTTGGCCCGCAAAGATTACTGAAGTAACAACTTCGAAATAAAATATTACTGGACCAATATTAGTCCTGCTTTACTTTGAGGGAAATCTAAATTGCAGCTTTTGTAATAGTTATAATACAGTTTCATTTGAAACTACATGTTGTGATTGGCAACCTTCTCTTACTTTGCTTCCCCTTCCCTCCCCTTCTTCCAGTACTTGATGCAACACGATGAAATGTGGTCACATTTTTCTTAGTATTCTTTGTTTGTTAATTCCCTCTTGCTCTCTCTTGGATATAGCGCTGGAGCTGATAGAGCATCTCCGTGCAATGGGTGAAACTAATGCTCTTCTGCAAAGGAACAATGTGAGACCCGACTGTAAAAGCTTTTGTTTCTATATATAATATATATAAAGTTGGTGGCGACATCTATTTCTTTACTGGAAATTTTGATTTATTCATGTATGAAAACAGATATTAAAGCGAGAAACAGCCTTGGCAACTGCAGCAATTTACGACTCAATGTTTGCTGCAGAAGATGGCTCCATCCCTGCAACATTCCAGGTGAGTGTTTTGGAATACCTGAGGATATTTATTTGATAGGAATTCCATTTGATCAAACTTGTGTATCTTGGTGCAAATAAAACAATGAAAGATGCTTCATGCAACATATTTTAACTTGATATTATGATGCTAAAATATCTTATGATGATTCATGCTTCATACTAATTGAAACACCGTTTAGAACTTTATGTAAAATATTTTATTATGATATCATGGTCAATAAATTCTATGAGACTTTCTGTTTTTAAATAAAATTTTGACGTTTTAGTCACTGCAAAATTTATTACTTTGTTTCCAAATAAGGAGGCATTTTGAGTTCTGTGGATGTTTAAGGCGATCATTTTCTTGCGATGTCTCTATCCTAAACCAGCAAGTGAATCTAGAGAGCGAAAAACTTGGAAAAAAAGGGGTGGGAGGGTTTGGGGTGTGGAAGAATTGGTAATCAAAGAATTTTTGTGGAAAATCGTGTTCTCTTTCTATCAGTAAGAATTCCATGTGTTCTCTTTCTATCAGTAAGAATTCCAGTTATATGGGAGTTCTTATTATAATACAGGGGCTATCTAATTTGGCCCTTGTAAGACTAAAGAAAATTGACGGGCAGCTCACTTACCATTAAATGAAGTATGATACATGACAATCGTCTTTTGCTCTCTGCCTTCTGCTTTGCAGGTTATTTACATGACAGGTTGGCGGGAACATCCTTCACAGCAAAAAGCCAAAAGAAGGGGATCTGCCACCGTATCATTCAAGGACATCCAGGAGCAATTCGGCCATGGTGGCTAAGACATCTCATCCTTCAACAGCATTCAATGTGAATTTTAAAGCAACTTTCCTCTTCTAGTAAGTGTTTTAAAATTTGCATTAATTTCTTTGAAAAATTTGTCTAACTATGAGCTTTTGCGAAAGTTAAGTTTATTAATAATGATAAATTATTTAGCAAGAGCAAAGTGCTCGTCTAATTGATGTTTGATGATATTGGCGAATGTTACTTGTAAAATCTAAAATACATTATTATTGAAGCTACTTCTTCCTCGCTATACCTATTTCTGGAAGAGCTAAATGTTCTTTTTTGCCCTTGATCTCTCTTATTTTGCAAGTCTAATAGGGTCTTAAGGCTGGTTTTATTTTTTTTATTTTTATGGTCCGACAGGGTTGGTCTCTCCATTAACTTAGCTAATTTGATCGAGTGCATGTTCAGTTAGAGGTTCTCTCTTCAAATGCGTTCATTATTTTTCTTTTTCCAGTTTTTATTTCAGACCCCATTTGCTAGCACATACACATTGGTCATCGCATTTGGGACATCAATCCCTGCTCAGCCTCGTATCGATGGAGGGAGAGCTTGATTGTGCTGGGTTTGGAAGTCCGATACGTTTTATGGGGCAGGCGGGTTTTATTCTTTTCACCTTAAGGGTACTTTCATCCATTAAATTTTCCGTTCTTTTTTTTTTTTAACATAGGAGGTCCAATAGACTGAAATAACATTGTGGGCTATACAGCAGGAGTCGTCTTTTTTTTTGAATGACATTTAACAAATTAGTGATAACCTTTTTAGGGAAGGAGAGAGACCTCGAACTCGAGATCTCTCACTCCCTACATCATCCATGAGAGGTAAGAATACAACACCTGATTGGCATTAAATTCTCCATTAACCGAAGTTGCAATTTTTTATTATTAAATTTCAATTAACTAATGAAAATTCAGAATTTTGGATGGATTTATCTATTAGTGTACCGGGAACAAAATTGAATGATCAAGGATCCTATGTTGTAATTTTGAAAATATAGATTCTGAACAATATATTTGACTAGATAGGATATTTACTCTTATAAAAATAGAAATGAAACAATCAAATGCTTTTATATAGTTTTATTTTTGTTAAAAACAATTAATTGGCAAGTAAAGGCAAGTGCATTCTACATTTTTAATGGAAATAGAATTTGAAATCTTCAAACCCGCTATATTTCTTTTGTTTTTTTTAAGTAATTTACATCGATATTTTTTAATCCATCTGCAATCCTTATTTTCAGAGCTTATTTTATTTATTTTTATTTTTAACTTAATTAATATCAATTATGAACTGAAATTTCATTTGAATTTTATCATAATTTCTTAGCATCTAATTATTTTTTAATTTTTATTCAAGTTTATTTGATTTTAAGATGATATTACTACAACACAAAGCTGATTGATAAACTTGTAGAAAATGGAACAACTTGTAATTTTCTATGTTTTCCCCAAGGGGTAAATTATGGACAATTGATAACATTTAGGGATGGTTTTTGAAATGCTTTTATCCATGATAGGAAACCAAAACAAAAAAAAAAATCCAACAGGAAGCAGCACAGTGAAAAAAACCATTGCATAATTAAAGGTGGGGTGATAGAGAGATGAAGCGTTTCCTGTAAATGACAAAGTTCAAATAATATTTTCAATTCTTGCCTCACCGAGAAATACCTACCAGATTTATTATTTATTTTTTTTTTAAAAAGAAGAAAAAACTCAAAATTACCAAGATTTTAGAAACATCAGCTACCAAACAGATGTAGAACATTTTAAATTTTTAACATTTTTCCCCTGAATTCTACTGTATCTGATAGACTTCTAATCCCAAATTTGTCTCCTTGGAACAAAATTATGTAAAATTAAGCCAATCCTAACCACGTCCGAAGAGGAGGGGGATGATAAAAATAAAGAAAGAAGAAATTGCATGTAGAGTACCTCTTATCATTCTCTTCATGATTCATGCTCCGCTTAATGGTACGAGCATGAAGATACTGCAGTCTACATACGGTCATCATAATCACTTAAAAGCATAGACATGTTTGTTTCTTTGGTGCTGTGCTAACTGGTTTTGAACTTCTGAACTCGATGGAGTTTCGCATTCCCCCAAAAGTTCAAATATTTTTGGTGCCGACAGTAAACTTTGCAATAAAAAACCCAATTGTGTCGAGTGGAGATGAAGGATCAAATCTCTGCACAAGTTCTTCCTCACCAGGTCTTAACCACTCCCTGTGGAGATGAGCATTATTTCAATTATTATGAAAAGCAAATGAATAATAAATACAGCAGAAAAATTCAAAAAAAAAGAAAAAATTGAGTTCCAAAATTATTTAATCAGACAATGTAATGAAAGGATCTAAAAAAATTGAAAATAATCACTAAGCATATCACATGTGATATTATTTACACCCAAATATACAAGCTATCCAATCCAGAAGAACAAAGAAATGTGAAAGAGGAGAAGAGGCAGAGAAAAGAGAAATTCATAGTTTTCACTCAACTATTAATTCAACAGCCAAATATTGCCCTTGAAAATATGAAAGCCCATGTATAGTTTAGGCTATTAGGCATATATATGATTTGAAGGAAAAAGAAAGCCGCACAACCAAAGAGACAAAAGAGCAGATATTTAATTGAGGGCATTTTGAAAAAATCCTTGAAAAGTTCATAGCAATCATGCGAAAAACAACTGCCACAGAAAAGGAATTCGATCCATCTTACTGAAATTGTCTGAAGAAACATTATCGAAGCTTTTACAAGATAGTAATTGTATTTTCAAAGTTTAGAACATAATCATGAATCTGACAGCTATACCCTCTCTAACTACAAAACTCGTTGCCTCCCATGCAGGAATAAGTCCAACTGTTTTTGCAATTTCCAATTTGCAAGTAACTAATTGAAAATGAGTTGAGATATAAATATGTAATAAAGAACATAAAATTAGAAACCAAAAAAAAAATTCAAAAAGGATGCAAAATCATACGAAAAGAAAAAGGCGGGGCATCAATCCGAGGAAGCACACTACTTCATACAAATTGCAGGCACTTACACAGGGAATTTACAACATGAAAAATGCACAATGTAGAATGAAGGATTATGGTACTTACTCAATGTATCCATCAGGGAATTCACAGGTACCGACAAGGCCAGGTCCTCCAATTCTTGGGTGCTGAAAATGCATCATAATAGCACATTCAATGTCATGAGCATTCATGCATCAATAAGCATGTTTGTTTATTTAAAAAAAAAAAAAAAGAAATTTGCGTGTGTGCATGATGGAAATAGATATTTTACATTTGTTTAACTTGATAAGGACAGAGTTTCCAGAAACCAAACCAAGCTACTAAAGGAATGAGGCAGCATTTATGGACCATGAACATACAGCTTGTATAGATTTACAATATATGATGCTAGGATAGACTTATAAAATGGTTTTAATCTAATCCCTATAAAGGCCATAAATACGTTTCGACATCCCCTATTATGAACTGTTTTGATTTGCCCTCAAAAGAGTCAGTATTCAAACCAACATCAAAAATGTTGCTAATGTATTCAGTATCATCTTTACATCACAGCTAACTACCAGAAACATCTCAAAAAATTTTACCATGCATTAGATAGAAGCTTACACAAATCTTGCAAGAGTTAAGGTGGCAAAAGAATGGGGGTAAAACAGTAAAATTTTTTGGTTAGTATTTTCTATATTTTCAGTCCAGAAATCATCCAGCTAGGTAGCTGAGGTTTGCACTTATGTTACAACTAACATTCATTAATGATGATAAATTAAAGAAGTATGTCCCTGTGTACAATAGCAAAACTCTCCTCCAATGAATTGTATAATCATTGGATTATAAGAATGAACAAGAAAAAGAAAAATCTAAGTAATGAATTTATAAAAAGAGTAACACATTGCACAGAGTATATAGATACAAAATTGCAATTTATTCAACAATATAACTACTATTCAAACTTTAACTATGACAGTAAAAATGAAGAGGAAATGAAACTTGTTGAATGTGACCTGTGGTGCTAAGGAGAGGAACTTGTATGTATCCAAAGCATATCGTACCAGTGCTTCATTCTCCCCAGGGTTTATTGTGCATCTGCCACATTACATAATAAAAATTACAAAAAAAGAATAAGCAGTTTAGTTTAATGTTTTATATGAGAATAATATTTTAAAAGTAATTGAAAATACATGGTTAGAAGACCTCCATGAGCTACCCAGTGCAAGTTAGGTACAGTAGGCCACCAGAACAAGTATACTGTTTATAATGCGTTACAATGTAGCACAGCTACTATTTCAATTTTTCTGTCACAAATACTAACTTGCAATCAAAAGCATATTGAAAGTGGGAATCATACCGACCAAATAACAAAGAATTGCTACATTATTTCTTCCTCCCTATCACAACTAGTTAAACAAATCCTATGGAGAGATAAGACTGAAAGAGAGGTGGGAGGATTTGAACTTTATGTGTTTAACAAAGCAAAAATGATATAAAAAGGAGATGGGAGAGTGTGGCATTGGGTCAAGCACAAAATGGGCCAGGCATTTTCCTCATTATCATACAACGCAAACCTCTTTTACATAACTTTAAATTGTAAATATAAATGCACCACATATAATGAATAAGACACTTCACGGATACTAACGTTGAATACACAATTACTCCACCAGGGCGAACTAGTTTAACAGCCTGGTCAAGCATTCTCCTCTGATACTTCGCATGGTTTCTTAAAGATTCTACAGTTTCCTGGAAAAGATATGACAAACTAAATTAAATATCCAAATGGGTATATGTAATAGTTAATAGAAGAGATCACTCCTTACATATATACATTGTGCATGCAATAATGGTTTACCAACACTAGAATAACGCTATATAATCAGACAGTACAAAGCCTACACCTGTAGAAGAGAAGAGGATAAAACAGTACTAAGCCAAGCGAAAAAGAGAGAGGGGGGTGGACCCATTGCTCATCAGACAATGATACTCGGCCTATTTTGGATTTTTTTTTTTTTCCATAAAACTCATAAATTAACTAAAACATCACTAGGTCTTCTCTTGGATATGGATTCAATCACTCTTTACCTGTCCTGGTATTACTATATGATATTCAAGTTAGTACAAGTATGAAAAAACAATCTCCATGCTAATCACATCACTTATCCTGTAAAAACCTTAACTGACATAAGCAGCTACATGTACCTCGAGCTAGAATTGCATGATGCAAGAAATCTAGAAAATTAGAGAATTTCTATATGGCTGTGAAATCAATATGCATTCCTCCGTTCGTGATTCACTTCTTAATCCTGAATATGAAACTACATAAAATTATAAAATATGAAAAAAAATTAATAAAATTCCTGAATTGAAAACTAGAAATTACATGAGCTATCTAATTTCAAAGATACAGGTTGAACACATCACTACAGCACAATAAGAAGTCAGATCAGTTTAGATTGCTTTACCTCTCCGGCGAAGAGTCTAGGCCTCAAACCAAGAGCTGAACATGGAGCATCAAGGAGAACTCGATCAAAGCTGTCAGGAGGAAAACCTTTTGAGTTTTCAACCCTACCACCCAGGCATTGATTTCTTCCTGGTCCATTCCTCATTCTTCGTTTATGCTTCCTGATGTCAGCTTTGCTAACATAAGTTCTCTCATTCTCTTTTTCATTAATAACAATAATATCGAAAATTAGATAAGAGAAACATATTTTTGAGAAATGCACATCAAACATGAGGAAGGAAAAGAAAAATGATAACCCTATCAAGTAGGCACTAAATACACATGCATTGGAATAATATACAAAGAACTTATCAGCCAAGTACAGTGTTAAGAGCATTCTAGCCTTTCAGCAATCATACATCCAAACAATATGCTGAATTAAAATGCACGCAAGATCATAACATTTGGGAAATATGATTAATATATTTATCAATGTTCTGACCTGTAATGGTATGATATTACCACTCAAAGGTAATAACTTTGGCACAACATTGCATCCTAATGAGTCATTCCCAGTATAAAACATGGACTTCAGTAAAAATCCGAATCATGTTCATCCACCAAGAGAGATATTTTTTGAACATTTAATCAAAGCTAAGCATCAGTCCGTAATAAAAGGGAAATGACTACAGTAATAATAGCTGGCTCTAACATAAATGATGGAAGTCAAATAGCTGTTCCCCAATTAGTAAGGTTCAATTCAAGACCACATATTCATTTACATCTGTTTTCTGCAGAACCAAATAGGCAACTATATTACATGGATGGCTTACAGCTATCATATAATTTCCAGGATAGCAAAATGGACATCATTATAAATGGTCCAAGTTGCAAATGCTATCAGTACCAAAAATGGCTAATAATCCAATAGGCAAGTCATGACAATGAAGTGAACGTTAACCTTGGGCCAATGATGAACTCTAAGAAAATTCAAATAAAGTGTAGCATTATTTCTAATGAAGAAGCATCAAGAATTCTCCAAGAAGATGTATGATCGGATAAGAAGGCAAAAAGGGAGAAAAGCAATCAATAAATACCTTGACCACAAGCAATCCAGACAATTACCTACCAATTTTATTGCATGCCTCATCAGGATTCAACCCTTGAACAGATGAAGATGTTTTCTCATCATGATGCCTTGGCAACTCAGAATTTTGAACAGTATTGTTTGATTCATTTCTTCGACAAACAGCTTTGAGAGCATCCAACTTGTAAGTCTTTATACAAGTCAAACTCATTTCAGCAGTCAGTTTCTGAATGTCTTGCACCTATATATAAGCAAGATACCAAAATACTCAAAGCATCAAAAGTTGAAGATTTTAACCACTATTTGATGATACAAAATTGATCAAGAGAAAAAGTAAAAAGGAAACAAAAAACAATTGTGCAATACTTGAATTTGAAGAAAGACAAAGTATGGATTTCATTGCAAGTTCTTATCAAAGTTATGGAAAGTTAAGCATGCGAACAAAAATTACTTGACAATTAAAAAGAAATTTCTGTCAATTAGCCTATCAACAAAAAATTCTAGCTCTTCTTCCAATTCTGAAATGTTGCACCATTCTTTTGAGATGACCAATTCTGACCAATACTTGCTTGTGATGTACAATTGTGGGAAGGTATTAGAAACCCTTTTATATGAAAAAATAGCTACTGATACGTCGCTACAATATTTATGACCAGATGAGTATGCATGCATATTTTTCATAGCAGGCCAAAAAATCTATCAAAAAAATGGCAGTTTCTAATACATTTTTTTCCTTCCTATAAATTGCTTCTACATGTAATTAAATGGATTAGGTGACTTGGCCACAATTAGACACCATATAACTGAAGTATAAGCAAGAATGAATGAATGCCAAGAAAAGGGAAGAACAATTTCAGGATTGTTTTGGCAATTCATTCTTATTAAAATTCACATGTTTAATTTTTCATTAGTATGCATTAAATGCCTACATTTCAATGTGTAACTGAAAACACACTTAACTTCAATTTATATAAGAAAAAAACACTATTACTGGACTCTATATATTTTGATGTCGGAGATATGACATGGATGACATGTGGAATTAAAAAAACCTACCTTAAACAATTATATAGCTACGTAAAAGTTTTCTTCTCTCTTCTAACTCTCACCTTACTCACTCATCTCTCCTCACTCTCCCCTATTTCTTCCTTTGACTTGCCACTCTCTCTCTCCCTCTCTCATCATTGTTTATATGGATTTGTGGATGTCTGTTGCTCATTGTGTTGTTTGGTATGTACAATCTTCGGCAAGGTGTTGCAAGAGCCTATGGACTTAAAAAAAGTTTGGAGTTTTATGTGAAAGCACTTAACCTTTTTTTGTTTAAATTATGGGTTTCACTTTCTAACTTTTCTCTTTTTGAATGCTAAGAGATGCAGAAAAAATAAAATTTGAAGTAAATTTGCTTTGCTTCGTCTTAAATTGAGGAACTGAATAGAATGTATGATAACTGCTTAAACACGACTTGTATAGAGTTTGGATTTGAGGATAACTGCAAAAGATAGATGGAAAAGAAAGGAAGTTAAGAATTTAGAATATAGAGGAGATTTCATTGTTTGAATGTGCAAGAATTGACAAGATAAGTGAGAAAGTGAGAGAAAGGCAAGAGAGAGATGGATTAGTTTAGAGAGAGAAGTGAGAGAGAGAAAGGGAAAGTGAGGACGGAGGGAGGGTAAGTCAGGTCAGAGAGAGAGAGGGTATGGGATCGGGTTAGAAATTGAGAACTACAAGAGAGAAACTAAACCTTTAACATAGCCATAAGTTTGTTTTAAAAATGCTTTTTTAATTCCACTAGTTATCCTGCAAAATCTAGTAACACTTTTTTTATGTTATATGGCCAAGTACATAAATTCACCTCTGTACTTTTCATGAAAAATCTTGTGAAACCCAAACTTTATGGGTATGCCCCTCAAGTTAAAGATTCTAGTAATATTGCACACTTCTCAATACTAGCAACAACAATTTTTAGGGTTTTTAGCTTTTAAGCAAAATATTGATTTGATATATGATTAATATAACTTCTTGAACAATTATTTTCGCATTTTTAGCTATCCCATAAGTGTTTGATTAATCTAATTTTACAAGTTAAAGTGTTTAGTAGGTGCAATTTTATAAATTTACGTATTCAATGGGTCAAAGTAAAAGTTGAAGATGCCACAAGAGTTTCATTAAAAGTACAATGGTGAATTTATGAATTTGGCTATTGTTATATAAGTCGATGTTTGGTAAGCTTTAAGTGACAGATTGAGATTTAGGCATGTCAATGTGCATTAGTAACAAGTTCAGAGAGACGAGTGGAATTAAACTAAATTCATAAGAGAAGAAAAATCATCAAGACTTCATAAAGTGTCACTTAGTTCAGCTTGGCATCTTTCTACTCAACCAACACTAACAAAGCCAATTTTGTACCAAAATATGAAACAAAAACACATATAATCACTAATGACATATGTCAAATATATTGCCTCTTCATAATTCAACAGAAGCAACAAAAAGTGGCTAAAACTAAATTCCAAAGCTTCAAAGCCTCATCAATACCTTGGCACTGAAAAATGATTCCCCATTACCAATTCGATCTGTGGGATCAAATCAATATGCATAGAAAATGTATAAAACATGAACAATATGCTGGGAATAAATGGATGTGAATACATCATATCATTATAACTACCATTTAGAAGCAGCACCTTATTATGAGATCTATCAATTGCAACAATCTCGCCTTGATCCTTCATAAGGATTGCAATTGCAGTTGTCTTCCCTCCGGGTGCTGCACACATGTCTAATATCCGTTCACCTTTTTGAGGATCTAAGACATAAAAAACAATGAAGATATCATGCAAACAAAGAGCTCACATGTCACTAAATCTTTTATAAAGGACGATATTTTAAGATTATAATCTTTCTTTCCTTCTATCTTGGGATGTGTGTGCGAAGGAGGGTAGTCAAGGCAAAAATAATTATATGATAAATACCGAGGGCATGAGCAGTGACAATGCTTGGCAAGTTCTGTAGAAATATTTCCCCCTCAAGCACATCTGTATCATGAACATGCAAAGAATTATAAGACAAACATGAGAGGCACGGATGGAAAAATAAGCAAAAAAGTCCATAAAATGGGGAAAAAAGGTACTCAATTAAACATACTCCCTAATTCCACAGCCACTTTCAGCTTATATTGTATCATAAAAGATTATGTTAGAGAAGAAAAAAAAATCGTAATGGAAGTCATATCTGAATCTTCTTTTTGTTCTTTGTAAAAGAGTTAATTCAAAACTAAAACCTGTATTCAGGTATTCACATGGCACATGCAAAATGTTGAGAAAACCAGAAAATTACATATAGAATATTACAATGCTAAGCAGATATAATCTGCAACAACTTTAGAAGAAAGAAACAATAATAAAAGAAAAAAAATGTCATAACTTTGCCATAAATGCCACAACTAAATCATTCAATACAGTAAAATCATATATCTAAGCAATCATAATAAAGACTAGATAAGGAGTGAAGTGTACCATGAAATGAAGGCAATTTAAATACTCGATTATGCATATCCACAGCTATTCCTTCTGAAACACGGAATATGCCAGCCCTTGACATTGTTGTCATTCCTTGGCCTATATACAGGCCTTTTCTTTCCAAATAGTAAGGATCTAGAACAATATAACAAGTGTCAACTAGCAGATCTCCCAGAAATTTGCACAGGGACTGTGCTATAAAGTGAAGACATTTTAATTAAGAGATCAAATATGAATGAGAGGCAACACATCAAATTCAGACATCTTACTTTCAATTTGAAAAAACCATCACATACAAGGCGTGGCATCTCCTATTTTTCAAATCAAGAAATGTAAAAGAATACTACCTCCATATCAATCTATAAAATAAATTATGTCCTTTCAGCCTTCAATATCTAAACCAATGATGAATATGTTTTAAAGCAGGAAATTCAATATGATCAAGAAAAGCTACAGCCTGCCTCTACCGTAACTTCCATATTCTACAACACTGAATGGGGCAACTTATCGGTGAATATTAACTAGAAAGTACAGTTGGTTGTTCTGCACTATATTTCTATTTCCCCCTTGCAATCAATACAATGCTTCAAAAGTACCATATGTGGGTGGCAACCCAAAAAAAATTGTGTCACATAATTATTGATTTTCTAATACATAACAATTGAACAGTGATGTGCTTCTACCAGAAATTTAACTTACATCCAACAAAGAAAAAAAAGGTTACCTTTCAAGAAGAATACACAAATTTATTGTTTTATTATCATATCACAATTTAACAGTGACATGCTTTTACCGGAAATTTAACTTAAATTCAACAGAGAAAAAACAGTTACTTTTAAATTTTAATAGGACTCAAATGTCTAATTTTATATTATAAAGAAAACATAATCATATGTTAAAGATAAAGACAAATAACTCCAAAATAGTAATATAATATTATAAATACAATCTGAAAATAGTAATTCTATATACCAAATATCCAGAATCACTTCTACATAATTCCCAAGCTGCCCCAAGTTATCCAATTAGCCAATAATAGAAAAAAACTGTCTTATAATGATCCAAAAATCAGATAACTTTTAATACTCCTTTAAAACTGAAATTTAATGACTCGCTTTTGAAACCTTCCCCTTATCATATTGCACCAGAATATTACTTAGGTGTCACGAAAATAAGTTATTGGGACATAATTCTTCATGTAAATGAAGTCCCATATGGTGAATTGTTAATCTATGATATCAATTTTATATTTCTAAAACCGTTAGTAATAATGTATCAAATTTAGGTCAATGAGTGCAGATTAATCTTTATCATTAATACATGAGTACAGCAACAAGAATTTCACCACAATTTGAAACTTCTGCTCTATGATTACATTTGTTTATCACCACGTCTAGTAACAACTAAATAAAATGGCTTCTCATTCAATTTCAGCAGTTCTTGCAGTTGTAACAAGAAGAAATCAAAGAATTTATATCCAACTACAGAGAGCATGCCAGCATCTATCAAATATGCTCAAACTGATGAATCTTTCACACAATACCAAGGATAAAATTTCCATTTGTGACTTTGTTTATTCTTCCTGCTTGTAATTTATTTTTAAACAAATATGAAAGAGATACCAAAATATGCAGATGAGTTTACTCAGGATCAACACAGACTTTCTCGCTTCTTCATGGTGTTGTGCATCAGTAACTTCTAGGGGAATTTATAGTTGATATTTAACAGTTAGAAAGCAATTCCCTAGTAATAAATATTTTCTCTATTTATATCTTTTCTAGTTTTTATGATAGCCTTATCGTCAAACCTCTCTCTGTCTCTCTCAATATAGACATGTATAAGTGAATGTGTGTGTGCGCATGTCCATATATGCACATTAAAAGCTGCGCAGGAGAATCCAATCTAATATTTTAAAGTTCACAGAATAATTATTCTTTTTTATCATAAGAATAAACATCTGATTTGCAAGCTTCATCAACTCATCAAAGATATTAAAAAGAAACAGCATAGACATAAATGCATAAAAAAAAAAAAGGTAATTGCCACCCCATTACACAAACAAAACAAGAAAGAGGAAAGCAATTTTGTGCTGAACGCTTCAAAGGTCAATTAATAAACACTCTTCTTGCCTGTCTGAAGCCCTTGAAGAACAGTTCCACGTGTCATGCCAATACCCCATCCACCATCAGGACTGTGTTGCTCTATAGCAACTGAAACTGCAACTACATCTCCTTTTTCAACATGTGCGCTACATGCCATTACACCAGGAACAAATACCTACACGTAAATCGCCACAAGAAAACATGAGAAAGAAGATCTTGTAATCAGTCATCCCTGACCTACAGCATAATAACTAAAATTTTTTGATTGCCACACTTTTTTTTTCCAACTAATCAACTAATTTGAGGGTTGGGATTCAAATCTTTATAAGAGTACATGATAAGAAAATTTAACAAAAGGAAATGGCAATAAATAAATTAAAAAAAAAAAAAAAAACACATACGCAGTTTAAAAGGCAGGTAGCCAATATGGCTGAAGACAAGTAATACGAAGAAGAAAAGCAAGGAAGCATAATTGATCCCCATAAATCTAGCAACGAAAACATAAATCAAGAATTGCTTTCAGTATCTATGCATTTTGAGTACAGAAAAACAAAAACACAATAATTAATTAAATTTGAAATGTGATAAGTAAGAGATGGTAATCAAAAGGATTTTTTTCATAACATTTAAGATGCCCTTAAAGCATACCATGCATTTACCTTGAATGCATGTAAATATTACAAACTGCCTACCTGAGCTCCTCGAAGAACTGCTTCAGCACATTTTCTACTCACTATTACCTCCTTGGGAGGTGCTCCAGGTGCAAAACCATAATCAATTGTGTGCGGACCCGAACCCTTGACAAACAAAACATAATCCAATCCTGGTATTTGGCACTTAGAGAGGGGACTCTTTTGCAACCTTTCATCCGATGCATTAATTGGACTCTCAGTACAACAATCTCCAAACCCAGTTTCCTTTATAATAGCCAAAAGTTTCTCAACCACAGAGTCCGTTGTTGCCTTTAGAGTGTTAACACGAATACAAGAATAACTTGAAGGACGCCTAATGAAAACAAATTTAAGCGAGAAGCACAATGAGAACAGGCATCAAATACCATAATATACTAATACTATCCAAAAGTTAAAGCTAGAATCGCCCAAACACAGCAAACTGACTCAATTAGGATAACAGTTGCAGTAGTCTAAATCAATCAACAAAGTTTTAAGAGAAGACAGAAGAGAGTATAAGTTAGATGTGTACGTTAGTGCATGAGAAATGCGAGAGAAAAGATCAGCTCCGTAGGCCTTGATGAAGTAGTGTTCAACTTCAGGGTTCCATTGCAATTTGGGATTGTAACAGTAGCGCTCTGAGGAATCCATCTGATAGATAACGGTAAAATAATTATTATTAGCAATTTTATGTATCAGACACAGAAAGCGAGAAACAAAGAGAATGCCTGTAGAGGAGGAGCAGCAGAGGGAGGAGGAGGAGGAGGAGGAGGAGGAGGAAACGCTGTTGGTCTGGCGAGGGAAAGGAAGCTTCGGCGAGTGGGTTTGAGCAAATCCCTCGCTTTCTTCATTCAAAGAGCACGCAATTTTAATTTCATTAGCGCTTTCGACAAAGGAAAACGCCCACTAAAACGGGGAAAAATATAAAATTGGTGCTTACATTGCAGTGAAATTAACACATATTATTCTTGGCCAAACCCATATATTTGCTCTTCAAGTTTATAAAATTTGTCTCACAACACCTTCAAATTTGATCGTATATTTTTATATTTTAATAGTAATTATATCATTGGCCAAAATAAAAAGTAGAAATACCATGTCATTATTGAAGTTTTACAAAGTTATTTCGTTTGGACGAGGGACATAATTATTGCAATATGAAAATGTAGAGTCATGATAAGTTTTTGAAAACTTGAAGATATTACAAAGAAAATTACTGAAATATAAAAGTATGGATAATAATAGGTTTTGAAAATTCGAGAGTATTACAAAGCAAATCACATAAATTTACAAATTTATATCAGGTCTATTACTTTTAAAAACTAATTGTTAGCTCTCTTATTGGTTTTTGGTTCAAGTGCTGCAGGGCATGGGCGGTGCCACCCTATGTGAAGTGCAGTTAATTGATGCACTCAATTTTTTAAAAAATATTTATAAAATATGATTAAAATGATAAAAAAAATTAAAAATATACATTAAGTGAAAATTTTTAGAGTTTTTAATCTAATTGACCCCGTTAAAAATTAAATTAAATAAAATGACCACACTAGAAAATATTTCTAGCTTCGTCACTAGTGCAAGACTCATACAGAGGCGACTCTTCCAGTGTGGTAACCAAAACTCCAATCCAACACTTTTGTCCGGTTAAGAGGAAATGAGTCTCAACCATTTTATCCCAATAAATATTGATAAGTACCAATGATCATTAATTCGAGGATTAATGGATGTATGCCTATAAAATAATAATAAGTTTGTTATAAATATTTACATTTTAAGCCAACTACATGTAGTCTGATTGAGTTCAATTCCTCTGGATCACAAATAATTTAATAGATTTGTAAAAAAAAAAAAATCTCTTAAAATGGCTTCAATTTCTGTGATCAAACAAAAAAATTTTCATTAATTAATTCAAAATTTTTTCATTAACTAATTATTTTTTCATTAATTAATGATAAGTCTCTTTAATGTCATTTATTATAATTAATGGTCCACCTTTGGGTAACCTAACAAGTTATAATCAATTATCTCAATTGTTCAGTTTTAACTTTCATGTCATTTGACGGCATCACACAAACATGAACAATTGAAAATTGCATAATCAATGTATAAAATAATCCAAACAATGCCACTTTGGTGACTAACAAGTTTTCCATTCATTAAACAACAAGTTTTTCCATTCATTAAACATTGAATAGCCAAAATTTATATGAGATTGAATTAAGACTCAGAACTTAATGACATACCTAATAATATTCAATAACTCATTCTCTATAAATAACACATAAATAATTTATAGAGCATAAAGAAAAACAGTTTTTCAATTTTCTATAATTTTCGGCTGTCGCTTATACAGATAATTCAACTTCAACAATACCGAAGATTAATTTCATTAATTAAGTCAAACAAATACTATCAAACAAATCTAGAACAGGTACAGGCTCTGATACACATGTTAAATAATCTTTATATAGTCCCAATCTATGTTCATAAGAATTTTTTGCAAGAATATACAATAATCGGAAGCGTACCCTGACCGTAACTAAAGTAGATCTATGTTATGGGTTATCTCGTGCGGCATCGATTTTCTCCGTAACAGCAGATCTACGTTCTTGCCTCTGGCCTTTTGTCCATAAGTTTTCTATCAAATGGTTCAGAGAATAATTCAACAGCTACGGCGAGTTTCTTTTATGAGTTTTTCAAACAAGCCCCTATCACCGTATGTATTTGAGGTAGCCGTCACACTTCTATTTTGTTTTCTTCTTGTTTCACCCTAAGCTGTCGATTCTAGCCGTCACACTTTCTATTTTGTTTTCTTCTGTGTTCACCCTAAGCTGTCGATTCCTTTTACTTTTACAAGGCAGAGGAAGGGTATTAAAACCTTAACTGGCTCTTATCTATTAAGCCCAATAACCATCATTTTGGGCCACCTTAATTAGAACCGGCTCTTTAATCACATGGGCCACATATAGATTATTAAATAATATAACATTTTTATGATTTATGTGTTTTACATAATTTTGGGATTTGTCATTTGTAAAGGGTGATGAGGCGAGCATAGATTTCACGAGAATTTTCAAAAAATCTTTACATCTATGCAATAAAAAATACAAAATTACATAATCGCGCATCATGCAAGTATATGACTAATTGTTTTACTAAAAAAAAAAAAAACCATCAACTTTTTAGAAAACACATTAAAGAAAATAAGAACAAATATTGTTTTGTATATATCTAATTCCATTAACACAGAAATCTATCTATGAGTACAACTGAAAAAACAAAAGTTACAAGAGCTAAAAGGCACAGAGATCATACAAATATTCCATTTATTTATTACATATAATCTCTTCTAACACCTTACAATTAGAATTAGTTCCTACTCTTAGCTTAATGAAGACAATCTGTATTGCTAACTTAGAAAATCTAAAAACTCCTAAGAGAACACCTTATAGGTTTTAGCTGAAACTACTATTTGTCTTACTCCTCCTATAGGTGCTAGGAGTGCTATCAATACACCAACAATAATAGAAACCTGCGATCCAACAAATATAAATTTATATTAAATTAGTACTATCTCACTGTCTCATATATATATATATATATATATATGTATATTTAATGAGTCGTAATAGAATATAATGTAATTAAAATTATATTTAAAGCCCGCGAAATCTTTGTGTTATGAGAAGTTATTAGTTGAATGCAATAATAAGATCATATTCTATCATGTTTAAAGAGAAGTAAATTATAGTACAAATTGGTTAGCTAGTCATACCTCTAAATATCTTGTTAGTATCACATTCTGGATGGTCCCTAGGGTAGGGGTGAGCAAAACTACAGACCGAACCCATCCATTTCAGTTCGGTTAGACATCCAAGAGAGGTTCGGTTAGTCGATTCGTTTGGTTTGAACTGAATTTATTATTCAATTCAATTCGGTTATACAAAAAATTCATCAGTTGGACTTAAAACTAAATTAAAATGGATAAAATCAACAAAAATAGACCAAACCGACTAGTTAGGTTCAAATGTAAAGAAATTTTGATTTATTATAAAGAAATTTCGATTTGTGTTTTATGAGATCGGTTCGGCTCGGTTTGAATCGAACGGACCGTTTGCTCATCCCTACTTTAAGGGGTTTAGATTGTTTTACGATATTTGTTAGTCTCTTAACTCTATTTTTTTTAGTATATATATATATTACATTTCAAAGTTCATTAAACATATATATTTGAAGTTGTTTTTGATGAAGTTTACCCATGATGCAATCCAATGAAGGCTCCATATCTTTGGTTTATGAATTTTGAGCCACATGATGCAAGGGATCTGCAAAGAAAGTATATTTCCCAATTCAAATTGGATAAATATAATGAGAAACTATATAATAATAATTATTATTCTTACAAAATATGATGTAGATGCGAAAACGAGCCCACCAAAAAATCCAAGCAATCCTCCAAAAAATGGGATGCAAATACCTATAAATCCTGTCAAAGCTGCAACAATATTGATGAATTAAATGGTTCTTAATATAATTTTTATGTGTTTTAAATAATTAAATATACTTTCAAGACTTTTTTTTTTAATTTATATTTCTAAACCAAAATAAATTTATTAGTAAAATGGGGAACTTGTGGCAAATATGAGTTGCTTTACCCTTAAAATCTATTTTAACCAAAATTCAGCGAAAATCAATTTATTTGACTGAGTCAACCATTAATCTGGTCAAATTTAACTCGAAACCTCTTAGTATTTACAAAAGTGAGAAGACCAATCAAACCATAATACATACCTACGTATGTGGTACGAGCAACAATGCGAAGAAGTCGTCCAGGAGTGAAATTCTTTTGGAGTACCAAATATGACTCAATTTGGTCAAAAACTGGCATGGCAAAAACCTGTTACAAGAAACAATTGTCATTCTTAATTGTTTAAGATAAATATTTTCAATAAAAAAAATTAATAGTTTTTTTTATTTTTTATTAACTAGATTAATGAATCGCATTGTTGGACAAACGTTGTACCATATTCAATTACTTCGTCTAAACTTAATCTCTGAGTCTATTTATAAATTACCTATTTATCTAAATTTGAAATATTGACTTCCATAGACCAAACCGATAAAAATAGAGATTTTTTGAATAGTATTCTCACCTTATCTATTTTGGGATTGTCTTGTTTAACATCACGGTTTATGGATCACCCATGGGCTAAATTAATAAAAATAAGTACTTATTAAAATGAGGGTGTTCCTAACTTTGCATTGAGAGAAAAAAAAGAGAAAAATTTGATAAAATATTTAAAAAACCTTTATACTTTCATTTGTTTAATGGGAAAATAATTATTTCATCCGTGATGTTTATTATAATTATCTAAATAATCTTTGATTTCTATATAAATATTTATAAAATATAAAAATATTTATAATGTCCGTAAAATTTGTTTTGTCGGTTATTCTGTAAAAAAAAAAGCCCACTTTTTACCGTTAACCTTTAATAAAAAGACCAAACTGCCTTATATTCTAACAACTCCTCCCAGTTTCAATTTTCTCTATTCTCAACACACAAAAATGGCAAACACAAACCAAAATTGATAAAGTAGGGCCTGGGACAACGAAATTGCCAAAGCTCACAGAGGAATAATAAAAAAAAACACCATCTGATGGGTAGGTAGGAATAGAACCTTCATTGATGTACAAAGGTGCAGAAGGAACAATGAATGTCTGGCGAAAGCGCAGCAGACTCAAGTGCATATGGGGGAAAGATGCTAACATCAAAGCAGCCATGACCAAAGGCACGAGTCAATTTATTTATATAGTTTATTCAAATGCCTTTGCCATCTTCATCCTTCTTCCCTCTTCCTTCATCTTTTACAGGAAATGGATTACCTGACTATTCTTCTTCTTCTTTTTTAACACTTGATAAGGACTCTGATATTACTTAACCTGGATTAATTATTAATTTGTTTCAGGAAAAGATCTCCCCTCAAACTTAATGCATGCATCTTCTATAGAATCTTGCTTCCGAGAATTGGCAGGTCTTCTTATATTTTCTCGCATAATCAAAATTAATTGGAATAATTATTAATTATCTAATTAGGCATAATAGAAAGGGAGATAATTAGGATTTGAGGTTTTACTGGATAAGTTTTTTTCAAGGAAAATTGTTATGGTGGTTAGCAGGGAAGATAATCAGGATTTGAGGTTTTATTGGAGTAGCCATGATATGTGCAATGCTCTGTCATATGACATCGGTGGCGGCGCACGTCGTTCTTAACGGCAGAGAGAAGAAGGTATAGAGATTGGTTGAAAGGGAAGGAAAAGAGATGATTCAAGAGTGAAGAAGAGAGATATTGGTGAAGGTTGATGATGTTTGGATTGGGTTTGAGTATCGAGTTTTAGCTCTAGTGGTGGTTTGATGATGGAGAGACAGTGATTAACAGCAAGGTGGTGGTGGTTTGTGGCAACGAAGAGTAATGTTGGATTGAGGGAGTGGAGAAATTTGAGTTTTAGGTATTTTAAAGAGAAGATGGATAACAAGAATGGCAAAAAAAAATTTCACAAAGTTAATTTCGTCTTTTTAGTTTAAAATTAACGGCAAACGATGTGTTTTTTTGACAGAACGACTAATTGATATGATAGAGCTAAATTTCGGGGACGTTATAAATAAAACGACTAAATGATATAATAGAGTTCAATATCGAGGACGTTATAAATATTTATACAAAATATATGATTACTTAGATAATTATGACAAATTTCACAGATAAAATAATTTTTTTCCCTAATTTGATTCTGGAATTTATATATTCGGTGCAGACAAGTCCAATCCTTTTTTTTTATTGGTTTGTTGAATAGATAGAACCAAAGACCTAATCTAAGCAATAATAACACCTGATAAATGTATGAATATTAGGAGCAGAAGTACCTGGTAGCTTCCTAGGACATGGAAAAACACCATGACATTGGCAACAGCAATGAGCCAGGGGGGCTTTTCCAGTGAAATAAGAACATCATCTTCTACAAGATCACCAAAAGCCCAAAACCCAGAAACAGCAACTGAAAGATAACAAATGATAACAATGATATAAGCAAGAACAACACCTTTCCACATGGGCTTTTTGGAAGGATTTTCTGGAGTTGATGGGATTGTAGCTTGTATCTCCAGAACTACACTATGTCCTGCATAAGCAAATGCTATAGTTCCAATTCCATTTAAAACATCAAAGACAATGCCAGGAGTTGTGTGAGATCTAACTCCATATCTTGTCGGGTGATTTTCGGTCCCCCTAATGGTTGATGCTACAAAAGCCACCATTGAATAACTGCAACAAATTTCAAGAGATTGAGATTCAGTCCATTGATATATACTCCCTCTGGCAAAAAATTCAAGTCGTTTAAGGTTTTTACACAAAGATTAAAGAAACAATTAATTCTTCTAAATTATAATAAAATCAAGGATAGTTTGCCAAATTATCTTTTACCTCAAAATCAAAAATTACTTGTGGAGCTAATTATTGTATCTAACATAAATAAGAGTAACATTAGAAAACCATTATTTATTATCCCTTGAAAACTCAAAACCATTTATATTTTTAGACAAAATAATCACCAGAACGACTTATATCTTGAGACAGATGGAGTATATATAAAGAGACAGAATGATGAATTAGTAGGTAAAGAGAGATTACCAGAAAGACATGACAGCTGCGAGTAAGGAAACTGATTTGAGTGAATTAAAATTTGGAGTTTGAGAGATCAAAAATTGCAGAACAGTGAAGAAAAGGATGAAGTAGGTTTGTCTGATATTACTGAGTCTTGGAAAGACCAAATTGACAAACTTCTTCAGTGACTTTCCCCCTGTTACTGTATAAACAATGGTTGTTGCAACTTGAACAAGTGTTTGTTGGGGCATGATAATCCAATACCCTAATTTTGGGCCAAAAGCAAACTGTCCAAGTTCTGGATATCTATCAAATCGCTTTCCAGGCACCACTTCATGTAATTCAATAAGTTGCCAAAGTGAGTAGAAAGTTATCAACCAAGAAATAGTTATGGCTGATGTTCCAGCAATCCTACAAAATTCTCAAAATAACAAGTTTATCATTAATAGGGTTTTGAATAAGCTCCATTTTGATACAATTTGGCCCAAACGTACTTTTTTTTTTTTTCTGTTTTCACACAAGTATCTCATACCCTTTTTACGCAAGAGATTGATATTACTTTTTTTTATTTTTTCTGTTTTCACACAAGTATCTCATACCTTTTTATTACGCAAGAAGATTGGATATATTATATTATATATATATTAGTATATTATATATTTGGAAGCCATACCAGCCAAGTTGAGACAAGCAAAAGGCTATATATGGAAGCATACCAGCCAAGTTGAGACAATGCAAAAGGCAAGCCAAGAACACCAGCACCCACCATAGCTGTTACATTGTGGAAAGTTGAATACCACCACTTGGCTTCCCTAGATGCAGTTATTGGTAGCCAGTTCTCTAAGTCTTGTCTTCCTTGTTGTCCAGTTCTTGTATTTTCAGTACTTACATTTTCTCTTCTTCCTTCATTAGCCTCTTCTCTTGTACTCATAATCCCATTTCCAATGTTTTCCTGATTATAGATATAGGGTTAATTTCACCCATAACATTATTTTATGTGTTCACAAATGACAATTTCATAAATTAACATCAGAGTATCGGACCACTCATACCAAATAGCCATTAGTCATATAAATAGAGAAAATTATACAAATTACTCACGCAAGTGAGCACTTAAAAAAATTATAAATAGAGGATGAGCACATACCGAAGTGGCCATAGGAGGAGCCTCTAGGTTAGACATTCATGAAAGCTTTTTTTTATCCGGTTTTGTTTTTTTTTTTTTTTAAATAAAAGTTGTAACTTATTTGAATTTTTTTGGAAATAGATATAAAAATTGTGTTAATGAGTGGATAAAATGGAGGGAAGCTGCAAAAGCTTAAGTATATAAAATAAGTTGATCCTAAATTAATGGGTATTTGAATCAGTCATTGAGCCTCAGCCACAGTAATTAATACTGGTTAGAGTGAAAGTAAAAGTGAATTTTGTGTTTTGAGATAATAAAGGGACACCATAAATAAGCTTATCTACACCGTATATGTTGCAAACAGTAATCAGATTTCTTAGGAGCAGCTAGATTAAAACACAGACAAAGGTCAAGATTAAGAACATGTTTATTTGATTCTTTCTTTAGTCTATGGTTTTGATTGGATGTACTTTTCAAAAAAAAAATGTTTATAATTAATAAATACATAAAATAATTATGAATTTAAAATTTTTAAATCTTTTTTTTTATATGTATCTATCCACATGTATCTACTTATTTATACTTATACAATTCCATATTGTAATATTTCCAATTAAATGTCAATCGAATATGGTAGTTGGTCTTTACATTTATATGAGGAATAAAAAATTTTAAATTCGAGACATCTTGACTACAAGAATAAAAAAAAAAAGGTTACTTGTTGTATATCCAATGTTCTTTAAGCATATTGGATTTCAATTCATGGGTGGAGGCAGGAAATTTGATTAGGGTAGGCAGATATTATTATATATATTATTATATATGTTTCATAAAAAAGACTTTTTAATTAATAATTAATTATTTTTGAGAAAAAAATTCTTTATTCTCAACTCATTGGTTCTTATATCTTTTTAAATAAGTCAGTTAATATATAAAACTAAAATTGAACTTAAATCTTCTTTCCTAATTATTTTGAATTTTTCCAAAATACTTCAAATATTTAAATCAAAATTAGAATTAGTCAGATTCAAATAAAATTACTAGTGAAAAAAAATTTATTTTTTTCTAATTTTCTAAAAGATCTGTTACTCAGTTAATTACTTATTTAAAAATTACTTGTAAAAATTAAATTGAAATCTCCATGTTAAAGATGTCAAATAATATATAATTGAAACAAGTTGTTGAGTTCAATTTTTTTTGAAGAGAATAAGAAGTTTATTAATCATCGACTATCAAGCGGCAAAGCATCAAGAATACAACTAGGTGGTGAAATAGACCATTCCACCCAATCTGTCAACAAATGAGATGCGCTAGCAAGAGCATGAGCCACCCCATTAGCAGATCGATGTGCAAAAGCCGCTTGCACATGAATAATCCCTGGAGAAGTCAGAGATAATAATCCCAAACCCACTAAAATCCCTATAACAATTTGCATTAATAGCTAGACATGCTAATTGGGCATCTGTTTCTATAGTAACATTCATCCAAGCTTCACGTTTTATCCAACTAAGAGCCTCCCTTATAGCTATAGCCTCTGTCACTTTTGAATTAAAACAACCCAGGAGCCTCCTAGCTCTAGCATGCAGAAACGTCCCACTTGCATCACGAATCACCAGCCCAATACCCATAGTCCCATCATTAAAGATAGCTGCATCCACATTCAACTTCCACCACCCTTCTCTTGGTCGTGTCCAAATATTAGAACCCACAGACACACTACATTAGGATTAACCCGCAAATGAGCTCGGACGCCATCACTCAACATCACCTGGGCACGAGACAGAATCCGCAGAGGTGACGACCACCGATTGTTCCAATTGACATCGTTCCGGTTCTGCCACAAAGACCAACGCACCAGCGCCAACAACGATGCATCCTCGGCCCTTGCCGGAAGGAAAACAGCCAGAAGCCAATCTTTAAAGGTCAAGACGGTGGGAGTCTGCCATCCAATATTAGACGCTAGCCAACAATTTCTCGCAACCGGGCACGTCACTAACACATGCATCACGGACTCAGAGCACCCATGGCAGACAGGGCAAACATTCGCAACCGGGACTCTCCTTTGCTGCAACACCTCAAGGCATGGTAAAACATTAGAAGCAGCCCGCCAAATCATATTTCGAACCTTCGGTGGAACTTGCAACCGCCAAAGCTTACTCCATAAGGCTGGAACCGCAGTTGGAAGACCCGCAAAATCAAACTGAGTCAAGAATCTATACGCACTCTTGATCTGTATTTTCCTTTAGCATCAAACTTCCAAGCTATGCGATCCGATGAAGGAAACACACTCAACGGCAGGGCCAGAATAGCCGCTCTATCTGCTGCATTAAAAAGGGAATTAAGCAAAGGTTCATTCCATCCATTTGAAATAATGAGCTCCGAAACTAAATTCAGTTGTAAATTATCTGGTCGAGCAGTGGTAACCATAGAGGACTGATGCGAAGGGAGCCATGGATCACTCCGCACCAACCCATTATCACCAGTTCCAATCCTCCAATAAAGACCCGCTTTCAAAAGCTTACGAGATTCCCACAAACTGCGCCATAAAAAGCTCGGAGCCGATCCCAACTCTGCCTCAAGAAAAAAAGAATTTGGATAATAACGAGCCTTCAGCAGGCGAGCAACAAGAGACTTGAGGGTTAAGAATCAAAGACCAAGCCTGTCGACCCAGCATAGCCACATTAAACTCATGCAACTCTTTAAAACCCAAACCACCCATACCTCTTGGTAAACAAAGACGGTTCCAATTCATCCAGTGAATTCACCGTGCATTATTAAGACCTTTTGCCCCATCAATACGCATTCATAAGCTGCTGCAACTCTAAGCACAACGTTCTAGGCTGAAGAAAGAGATCCATAACATAATTCGGAAGAGCTTGAAGAACCGTCTTAAGCATAACTTCCTTTCCCGCGAGAGACAGACAGCGACGTTTCCAGGAATTTAAATGTCTAAGCAGAAGGTAATATATATAATTTTTTAAAACCAAAATAAAAAAATTGAGAGAAAAATTGATAACAAACAATTGTAATTGTAATTGTAATAATTTCTAAAACAAAGCAATGGAAAAAAAAAAGTTAATCTTGATATTCCAGTGAGAAATTTCAGTAAAATACACCTAACAGTATGAAATTATTAATTTAGACTTTAAATGACAAATATTTCATTTTTATGTTTCGTTTATTTCCGGAAAATAATTTACCTTTGAAAAATATTTTTCAAATGTCTTATTTTTCATTATTTGATTGCAATATTTAAAATTAGTTAAAAATATTAAATTTTTAACTCATAAGACCATAATAATAATACAAATTTCGTATTTTAAAAATTTTATTGTTAATACAAATTTCGTATTTTAAAAATTTTATTGTTAAATATGAGAATAAGGTAAAAAAATAGTAAATTATAAAAGTCGCCGATGACCTGTGATAGTGCCCGATGGTAGTGACTGGTGGTGGTGGTCGGTGAATAGTGATAGTAGCTACTTATGATTAATAAATTAGAAAAATATAAATTTATAAAATGGATAGTCATTTTTCTTATAAATGACTTAATCTTTTTTTGACAAAAAAATATTTTCCGTCCATTTATTTTTTAATAAATTATTTTACAGAAAACTATCGAAGTCTTAGACTCAACCGTGAGGAAAAACTAAAAAATCCAGATATCCAAATATAATTAACTCTAAATTTATTATTATTATTATCTTTAGTAATTTTCAAAAGAGGAAAGCGTCCTCGTCTTCGACAGTTCGAGAGGGTGCGTTGATTTACCCGCCGGCGCACACTTGTCAGATCAAAGCCTGAAGTTGCTAAAATACGCGGATATTTTCAATAAAATAATTCGCCTAAATAAAGGCATATTCCACACACCGTCACTTTCATTGCCTTTGTCTGGCTTTTCTCGAGTAATCTCCTTTCCATTTATTAACGGCTATGATTATTTTAATTTTAATTTTTTCGATTTATATAGATACGGGTGGGAACTTTTTGGTTTGCTTTGGTAAAATTTAAAACAATTTAAATTAAAACAGTTTTTTTTTTTTTTTTTTTTTTTGTAAATCATCTGTATCCGAACCTTATTATCAAGGACCGACTAAATTTAGCTAGAGAGTTGAGTCACAGTTAGAGTTCTTCGCCGCTCCCTACAGGTGTGTTTAGTGAGATCGAACTCAATAGCTCTTTCCATATGCGTAACCTGCGTTTCTAACTGAGCTACAATCGATACGTGTAGTTTATAGAGTATTTAATCCAAATCAAACTATTTAATTAATGAAAATAAATAAAATTAAATCACAATAAAGTGCTTAGTTTTTTTATAACAAACAAGCATATACCACAAAATATTAATTTCTGCAATTTAAATTTATAAAAAAAAATAATATTACATATAAGTAACATTAATGATACACCCAAGTGTAACTTTACCAATAATAATTTATTCATAAAATATTAAATTTCTTTCAGTACTACAATATTAAAAACATAAGAAATGACTTCAGAAAGAAACTATCACATTCACAAGGTGTATTTCTAAATATTCAAATTAGATGTAAAATATAATAATTAAAGTAATAATATAATGACATCATAAAATATCAATAATAGAAGGTCCTTTTGAAGATTTGAAATATTTGAAAAAAGAATTCATATTAGTTGATTTAACATTTTAATGAATTTATAGATAATATACAAGTTATCATTATCAGATAAATCAACATCTCATCAAGGTTTAAATCAACGTCTCATCAAGATTTAAAATTTATTATTGATGCAGTTTGATTCGGTTTTAAATGATTTAATTAAATAAAAAATAAATCACATTATTTTGAAAATGGTTAATCAAGTTGTAAATCAAACTAAATCATTTAAAAAGATAAATGATTCAAAATTGACGGTTTGATGTAGTTTGATTTGGTTATATGGGTTAACCGTTTAATGCTCCGCCTAAAAAATATAGGTGCTTTTGCTCTTGTGCTCAAAGTGATATTCACACAATTCAAGTAAAATGTTTATAATAATTTCGATTTTATACTTTGAAGTTTGTATTTGAAACGACGTTTAATATATTAATTTACGGTTTTTGACACTAATCAATACACTATCTTTCTAACAACTTGCCTTGGAAATACAATATTTTCTAAAGTTTCTAATATTTTACGGTGCTTAAGAAAATCAGTCAAATGAAAAAAAATTTCTGATTAATGGAAAACTAAACCATTTTTGAGGAAAATTAATTTCCATTTTCCATAGAAGAATATGTTTTCCAAACGTTGACATATAATCTTATAAATATATACATTTTGAATTTATTAATTACCTGTAATTACAACTATCAATCACCAGTTGCAATCGGCTATGAGACACTGTCGGCCATATTATTTATTACCGGTGACTATTATAATTTATTATTTTTTATAATTTTCTCATATTTAATAATTATTTTTTATAAAATGAAATTTTTATAATTATACATATTTTTATGATCTCATAATTTAAAATTTTTAATATTACAACTAAATAATGGAAAATGAGTTATTTAGATTTTTTTTTTTCAAAGGCAAATTTTTTTTGAAAACAAATGGAGTTGTAGTACACTTTTGTGGATTAGATAGCAGGTTGATTTTATTATTATTATTATTATTATTATTTAATTTTCAAATAAAAATAAAACCACATGATGTGCAAATTGTGTATTTTCATATTTTTAAGCAATTTATATATGTAAATTTTCAGAAATTATACAATTTATATTTGCTTTAATTTAAATAATTTGGTTTTGTATTTTGATTAAATTATGAAAGGTGAAATTACATTTTTTTTGAAATTTTCAAATAATAAACTGAAACATTTACTTGCACGATTATTAAATTATTATTATTCAACTGATGTAATTATTTATTTTTTTCCTTTTGAATCTCATATATTCAATTGAAATGTTTATCAATTTTTTATAATTAAATAAGATATAAACATGTTTAATTATAATGCAATAAATTATAATGAATTAAAATAATATTTTAATTCTATTAGTTAATCATATTATTGTAACTCTATCATTCACGATGACAAAATTAGAAAAAATACATAGAGCCGCAAAAATTTTAAAATTCTAGGGGAATGAAATTGAAAAAATTCACTATTTTATAAGTAGAATGTAAATTTTTATATTTTATAAAGCAAAATTTTTAAAATTAAAGGAGCATGTCACTTCTAGCCACCTCCTATTTCCGTTATAATTATTTAATATTTTTAATTACAACTCTTTATTAAATTATAATTCCATTACTTAATGAAAATTTAATATATATATATTTATATATATTATTTTATTACAACTCTTTATTAAATTATATTCCATTAAACTTAATGAAAATTTAATATATATAAATTTTATATATAATTATAATATATAAACAAATAATTTAATTTATATGGAAAGTTAAGCTTAAGCAGGCACAATTTGGCATAATATTTGGATTATAAAAATATTTTAGATATAATGATATATGTTACAATTCTAATAACAATTTAGCAATAATCGTTTTATAATTTTTTATGATAGTCTTTTTATCAAATATAAAAAATATTATCTTTAACATTTAATATAATTAATAGTAAATTTATTTTTCGCTTATTTAATATATTAATATAAATTTATTTTTCCTTATTACCAATAAATAAGTAATCCATAATCTTAAAAGTCTGAATAAATAATATATTATTATTAAATAAAAAAATTAAAAAATATATATTATATGGATAGTAAAAATTAAGGTATCCGTTAACCGATTTTCTTACGCTTTCCTTGTCATCGACTCATCGTTTCTAACGTAGAAGTGGAAATCCTCTTTCGTTTTCATTTCTCAGATTAAAAAAAATATATATATATTGAAAAAAGAAATCTCTTCTCAGTCGCTCAGTCACTCAATTGAATTTTTCCGGAGAATCTGATCTTCTCTTTTCTGTTTGTTTCTCTTATTTATTGAAAGCATGGATCCGTGGGCAATACATGTGAAGAATTCGACTCATAGCCCCTTTTCGGTAAGGAATTATTCGATGATTCCCGAGAAACCAAATTCCTGGAATTTTGGAACAGTTAGACTGCTTGAGTTCAGGTTTTGGAGGCGGAAGCTCACGTCTTCTTCTTCTTCTTCTTCTTCTTCCTCTTATGGCTATCATTCATTGTTCATAAGAGCCATGGCTAAAAAGAATAATAATGGTAATTGTACTTCCTCCTTCACTTCCTGTGTTGTTGTTATCTCTCGAGTTTCCTGTTTGGTCCAGTATCTATCTTTCCTGATTGTAATTTTAATTGATTTCTAGTGTTTTATGTGAAGGAAATTAGACATTGAAAGAAAATATTGTTCTTGAGATTGAAATCAGAATCGTTGGACTTGTTATTAGACTGAATGGGAAATTAGATGGGGATAGGTTATAAATTGGAAATGTAATGGAGGAGAAGCTTACTTGAAGATGGTTTGGATAATTTTAGTGCAATAAAGAATGGAGCAGAATAAGTAGCCTAGTTTGGTTGAGCTTTGTTTTGTGATAGGAATAGAGATATATCATAGTACTTAGTTGGGTGGCTGAATTTCTTGGAAGGACATTTTGGCATCAGTGTTGCTTTATGGAGAGATGAAGGATGTAACTTTGATGATTATCAGTACCTAAGTTAAGACTTTAATTTCGGTTTGAAGATGCACTCTACACTTGTCAGGAAAAATTGGGAACAAAAAATATTATAGAAATTATTACTTTTTCCTTTTTGGTCTTTAAGCCATATAAAAGACTGGAAAATAGCAAATGCTACAATTTCTCCAGTTTTGCTCTTTTTTCTTTTTTGGGCCAAAAATTCAAAATTTTCCTTGGAGGAAGCTATTAGTAAAGATAGAGAGTTGCATAATCCTAGCATAAGGCAATTTGTACAGAGTGATACCAAAAAGACAATGATGTAATCTTATATCTCGATTTTTCAGTTTGGATTGAAAATCCGAAGACAGATTTTGTTGCTCCAGAAACACCCCCCCCCCCCCCGAAGACAGATTTTGTCTGCTCAGAAAAACACCGCCCCCCCCCCCCCCCAAAAAAAAAAAAAAAAAAAAAAAAAAGGACAGCGTAACTTTGTAAATTGAGTGCTGGAGAGTACTTCCTAGCTAATGTCGAATTGGTCATTTTTCTTAGGTGGTGAAGGACAAAAGGTAGCTTTGTGAAATAGTCAATTTAGATATATTTTTGCAATAAGAGTAGAGGTGCAGGGGAACCGTCAGGGTTTAGTTTGAACTATATAGTAAAAAAAAAAAAAAAAAAAAAAAAGGAAGCGTAACTTTTGTAAATTGAGTGCTGGAGAGTACTTCCTACTAATGTCTGAATTGTCATTTTTCTTAGGTGGTGAAGGACAAAGGTAGCTTGTGAAATAGTCAATTTAGATATATTTTTGCATAAGAGTAAGGTGCAGGGGAACCGTCAGGGTTTAGTTGAACTAATATAGTCTTATGTCATGTTTACTTGAGTTGAAAAAAGTACGGCTTATTTTTTTTCGGGTGTTCTTGAATTTTATGGTTCAAAAGGGTTTAGTTGATCTTCCGATTGTAACAGGTATGAGTTGAATATTTGTCACTGGGTTTTTTTTATTTTTGTTTGTGACTGTTAGTTGAATGTAGATCTCATTTCTAAATAGCGTGAGATAAAAAGATGGTATCTGTGAGGTTTTAGCTTACCAGTTGGATTTTTCTACATCATGGTTGGAAGCTTTTAGTACCTTCTGGACATTGTGCAGGGAGATATGATACCAGTGGTCAATCTCACATTCATCCTGAATAATTGATGCTTTAAGGATTAAAACTTGAATTTGGAAAGTTATAGTATTGGTATGGTTATTATCTTGTCTTGAGTTTGGGAAGCTGCTTTGGCTGTTTAGTCCTGACAATTTGCAGAACCAATACTTTCTCCATGGATTTGGTTTGAATGTTGGTTTGACAAATCCATGTACATGGGCTTTAAATTCTTAATTGGTAAGACCTGGTATTGAGTTGGGATCTGTGTATATTGTTTGAATCTTACATTTATAAGGGTAAATAAACGCTGAAAAAAGTCGGGTTGGATATTTGGTGTATTGGTGTTTGGCTTCATGCAGTAGGTCTCTGCATAATAAGACTCTAATTAAAGCGGATATGTTAGAGAAAGTCATCCTTATCCGATGTGAGGAGAAGAGTTTCTGGTGGATTGGCTTTTATGTTTGCTTTATTGGTTTAATGATTGCTTGGTAGGTCCAATCAAGCATGGACTTTTCTACACTGCATAGTACCAATATGAGCGGTCTCAGAAAGCCTTCTAAGTAGGGAATTTCTTCCATTTAGCCTATGAAGGATGTAGATATAGGTACTAGCTTCAACTCTAGAGGAATTGCATAGCCATTGTTTTGCACTTCCTTTATGTGGAATGATGTTGAGAAATCATACCACTCCTCTTTCTTTATTTGTAAGTTCCATTGTTTATTTATCTGATTGTATCTTCATACCAACTAACCAATTCGATTTCCAATTATCTTGGCAAATTTGATTTCGACCAAAATGGTTTTTATATTTTCGTAGTTGTTGCTTTTGAGTGATGACCACATGATTGCTTAGGTTACAAACTCCTGGAGTATCATTTGAAAATCCAAGGAAGATTCGCCTGTTCCAGAAAAAGTGCATTCGAGTTACAATATGTATCCTTTGGGGCAGGAAGATCGATAAACAGAGAAAGAGAAGAAAAGGCGTTATGCTTAACACATGCAAGTCAGACTCTCTTATTTGAGGATATATTTCTAGACTAAATTAGACAATTTATTATGCCCCTAAGATATAAATTGACTCAATTTAAGGTCTAGTAATAAAAATTCAAACCATTATGCTAAAAATTACCTTACTATCATTGGCTTATAGGGAAAATATATAAAAATAATCAACTAATTTCCAACTAATCTAAAATTTGTGGGTGCTTTAGCTAATTTAATGGACTTGAGGAGTGTCTATACTGAAATTAGAGTATAACTTTAACATATCATTTAATATGTTTTGATCCACTGTTCATATCAAATGTTTTTCGAGGTTGGTGACTGAATTGAAAAGTTGTTTGCTTATATGTAATCAAAGCATAGTTAAGCAATGGATTCACTTTTACAATGGCAAGTTAATGAAGTCAGTTTGATATAGGGGTCTATTTGCAGCTAGAGGCCAGCACTATGGACACTCTTATTATAACAGTTTTCTCTGGTTAGTGCATGTCTTTAAGGCTTTTCATTGGGTACCTGTCTTCCATATTTTAGGCATCCTAGCAATGAAAAGATCATTCATCACTCTTGCTTATGTTTATTGAAATTCAAATATTTTTGTACTTTTTGATTACTATTTCAATGTGATGTTTCACTCATCGGCATTGACACCACATGTTATCCTTTCTTTGTTTTGAGCGATTATAATGATATCTTTGCTTGAGCATTTTCATCACGATTTTTCCCAAGCTGCTGATTATTGTTTATCTTAGATTTCTTTTGCCTTATTGTCATGGTTTATTAATTCAATAGGCAGGTTCCAATTGTCATTTTAGGAACATTTTGCCACTGTTCACGTATAATGATTTTGCAGTAATATGCTATCTGCCTCAGTCTCATGAATTAAATAAAGCACAAGGTCATCAATTAAGATCTATTCTTGCTTCTTGCTTGTACATGTATCATTGCGAGAATCATCATTGTCCTCATGAATTCCATGGCCGTCATGGTTGTTCTCCTCCTGGTATGATCATCATTGCCATCGCTATCACATATTATTTTCTAGTTGCTACTGCTACCTAGGTTGTCCTGTGTTGATCATTTCTCCATTTTTAGTTTAAAAATTTAAACCATTATTTCATTCTGATTCGACTACTTTATATAGCCAGAGAAAAAGCGCTACAGCCTTGGGTTAAATAACACTTTCTTAGTTAATAAAGTCCTCCTTTGTAAATGTCTGCAATTTGGAAGGGACAGATATTAAGGGGTTTGTTATTATGCCAAGATATGGGACTGCAAATAATTGCTGGTCTCCATATGTAGGGAGAGAACTTATCACTGGGTGTAGAATTGGATTGGAAAGGACAGGATGAGTGTTCTGCATGTGCATAGTAAGGTGAAAGTATAGATTCCTGCTTGTTATGTCATTGGTGTTGGCTTGTCTCTAACATAAAAATGCTTTAGCCTGGTTAGATACATTCCTTGTGGCTTTAAGGTAATGACAAATGCTTAAGCGACAGCCATTTTTAAGATCAGCTCCTTTCAGATGACTGCTTCAGATCCAGCAAATGGAGAGCATTTTTAAGATCCAGAAAATTGTGTTGAAGGAACCTTTAGAAGCCATGCAGAAGCTTTGCACTACATTCAAGCTTGCTCTTCCGCTTGGGAAGTTGCATTAGAGAGATGAACTAATGTGGCTTGCAATAGTTATCTTTACAGGGATTATTTCTATACATTCCATACTTGAACCTCTTCAAACAAGACCTACTGCTATTGATTTGATGATTTCTACAGGACTTCGTCAACAAGAATTAATCATTCGCCCAAGAAAATTGTATAACAGGGTAAAGCATTTAGTGACCATAAGAATACAGTGATTCTATCCCTGATCTCTATGTCCTTTTCGTACCTGACGTCCAAAGGGAAAAAGAAAATAGCCTGTAGATCTTGGGCAGAAGAAGGGTTTGGTCCATATCATCTTGACTGGAGTGGGCACAAGAAGGGGGTTTTGATTTCTCTATACTGTTAGGCTATGCTCCTCCTTTCTTTAGATGTTTTTGGGCTAAGCTTTGACTTTTTCCATTGGCATAGTTTGACTTGAAAGCTATAGGTGCTTGACTGCTTGCAGCTTCAATTGAAAATAATTGAATAATAATATGTATCTTGTACAAAATATTTGATCAAGGAATAGGAGGCTTTGTTTTCATTTTCTTCTTTCTCCTTTCCTGTCATCTTTTCCTGTGAGGGGGTAACCCTCTTGCATTCCTTGAGAAACCCCTCTTACTAGGTAACTCCTAACCTAAATCCATATCTGATTTGAAACTGTAATCTCTAAAATGAAAGGCATAACCACTAGTGCTTATTCTTGGGGATAAAATACTAGCATCTTTAAGCAGGAAGAAATACTCTCTCAGTGTTGGCTAAGATACGAGCTGCTAGTACTTGTGGTTTAGTGGTTTATATAATTAGTTGATATAAATACTGCGTTCGACTTTTCTTACCTTCTTCCCTCCTTCCCTCTAGTATATGGGTGGCACTCTGTTATGGTCCTTCAATAAATCACCATATGCTTTTCACAACATCTAGAGTTGACATTTTTTAATTTTCTTACACAGATAGCACTAGGTCAGATTGAACATAATATTTCTCTTCAAATCTTTTCGCTTGAGCAAGAAGGCATGTTTGTATAGCACTTGACCAATGTAATTTACTGATGCTTGATTGTCATAACCTAGGACCTAGGACTCTAAGTGACTCCTTATATGTGCGTCTGCACGGCTACACCATTGGTCCAGTGTATTTGAGAGGCAAGGCAGTGGGCTAGTGTTTGAAGAATGCCTTTGCTTTTTTGTTATAATTTCTGAAGTGTTTTGAAATTATCTAAGAGAGCTTGAATAAAGCATTTTTTTTTCCAATAAAGCTTGAAATTGCAGAAGCCGGCTTAATTTGTTTTGCTTGAGAATTACAGAAATGATGATGTACTGTTTTTTTGAGGAAATAATTTGTCAATTTTGAAACATTGACTGGATGAAACAAACTCAACCTTTAACCTGCAGAAGTTGCAACTCAAGAAGAGTTTATATCTTTGTGATGATATTTCAGGAAATGGTGATCGGTCTATCCCTGGAGGAGATAGTTCCAAAGGAAACTCTCCTGGTGACAAAAAGTCAAATGATAATTCTTCCCAGAAATCCCACGGTGTAAATTTGGATTGGAGAGAGTTCAGAGCAAAAATGGTTATTCAGGAGCAGGTGATTTGTTTCTTTATTGATTGGGCTTGTTATATATTATTATTATCTTTCCAGTTGCAGCAGTGTAATTTTTAAAGCTCTAGAAGATTATATTAGCTGACATGGTAAATATCATCATTCTCCTCTATCAATTCAATAATGTTCAACATTATAAGATGTTTTCAGATCCTACTCAACTCAGCAACTAAAGTGTTCCACGTGAAGGAAACTAGATTTACTTCTTGAAAATTCTGAGGGGTGTTTATTATCCAACTAGCTGTTAGTGTCTCAGATAAAGGAGAAAGGAAACTGGAAAGAATAAACATCCTAGTTAATGTTTGAATTTTGGATCACTTTAATCATATTTGCTTATGTTCAATAATAATTTTGATATCAAAATAGATGGTGAAATAGAACTAAAGGTCATGATATATAAGTTTGGTTTTCTTTGGGCTTTATCTGTCAAAACTGACATCTGCTTCAGCATACATGATACCATGCTTCATGTCTAGTCTAGGGATGCCCAAGTGACTTTTAAATGCCTGCAGCTTTCCCATTAATAACCTTACTGTTTTTGTAGTTTGAACAGCGATCTCAAGGTCACAATTTAGCAACATTATTGTTGCACCAGGTTAATCCTTGATATGCTTCATGGCTAAATAACTTCAGAATACGATGAGTAATTTAGTATAGATTAAATTGCTCTAAGAACTTCAGAGCTTACAATCTACAGTTTTAACAGGCGGAGATTGCAGAGACTGACGCTGCTAACCAAGCTGGCTCACCTCGAGATTCCAAACCGCTTGGCCTGAAATGGGCGCATCCTATTTCAGTGCCTGAGACTGGCTGCGTCCTTGTTGCCACTGAAAAACTTGATGGAGTTCGCACCTTTGACAGAACAGTTGTTCTCCTTCTTAGATCAGGAACTAGGCATCCACAGGAAGGGCCATTTGGAGTTGTCATTAATCGGCCACTTAACAAAAAGATCAAACATATGAAACCAAATAGTAATGAATTAGCAACCACATTTGCTGATTGCTCTCTGCATTTTGGTGGGCCTCTTGAGGCAAGCATGTTTTTGTTAAAAACAGGAGAAAAGGCAAAGCTTCCTGGGCTTGAAGAGGTGGTCCCTGGCCTGTGCTTCGGTGCAAGAAACAGTCTGGACGAAGCTGCAAAACTTGTGAAAAAAGGAGTGCTGAAGCCTCAAGATTTCAGATTCTTTGTCGGTTATGCAGGGTGGCAACTGGATCAGCTGAGAGAGGAAATTGAATCAGACTATTGGTATGTGGCCTCATGTAGCTCAAATTTGATATGTGGAGGTTCATCAGATTCATCATCAGAAAGATTGTGGGAGGAGATTTTGCAGCTGATGGGCGGTCCTTACTCCGAGCTTAGCCGGAAGCCTAAGCAAGACATGTAGGTACACATATATAATGAACTTTGAGCTTCGATCTACTGAATTAAAATATGCAGCTTAGGCAGTAGCATTCATGAAGCAGAAATGTACAGGAACTCACTGTCTCCTGTTAGGCAGAAATCTTTTTTTTTTTTTTTTTTTTAAATAGCTTAGCCGGAAGCCTAAGCAAGACAGTAGAGTACACATATATAATGAACTTTGAGCTTCGATCTACTGAATTAAATATGCAGCTTAGGCAGTAGCATTCATGAAGCAGAAATGTACAGGAACTCAACTGTCTCCTGTTAGGCAGAAATCTTTTTTTTTTCTTTTTTTTTTTAAAAGTTTTTTTTTTTTTTTTTTTTAAAGTCTAATTTTTCAATTTGCTCTAGTAACCTTGTTACCTATGGTTCTTGTATGTAATAGACTACATTTTCTTTTACTGAAGTAAAGCATGTCCCTTTGGTGCCAACTATGCATGCATTGTAGAATTTTCTTTAGCGAGATGAGCGACAGAACCTTAGGAGCAAGCTTTTAGTGTTTTTTCCTCTCACCTCCCACTTAATGGTTAGCTGGGAGATCAATCCCTTTCGGAGTTAGAAAATAATTACATTTAAAAACCCTCCTCAATATGTATGCTGACTCTACGAGTCGATTCTGCAATCATCTGTGTGAGATCTAGTGTATTTCAATCAAAGTTATCGCTATCTTGGATTTTTATTATTATAATTTACTGACTTAGATTAGTGTTCTTTATTTTTAGAAATATTTTTCTTTATTTTTAAATTTTGAATATTAATTATTAAACTTATTTAATTTTTCTCTCTTAATTCCTTATATTTACTGAGATTGATTTATTATTAAAGATTGGTCATTATCTATAATTACTTTCTCTTGTTATTCGATATTTACTTTTTCATGGAAATTAAATTTATCCACATTTTTTAAATTGTTATTATTATTTTTTAAAAGACGTAATTGCAAAAAAGCATCGAAACGAGAATTAAAACCCTTTTTGCTAAATATGAAATCAGAATCGATTAACTACGAGCTGAACTTGTTTCCATTTTTAGAAGGTTTTAGTTCACTGAATGAATAATAATTACATTTTTTTTAAAAAAAATCAATAAAAATACATAAATTAGCGTTGAAAAAAATTGAGAATTGGCTGAATACATTAAGAAATCAACAATATATTACACAAAAAAATATTAAGCATCCAATAATTTTCTACCATTACAGTATTATTATTATTAATAAATTTCGATTACTAAAAACAAAGGTTCACACAGGGACACGTGTCAGTTGGTAAACTGAAGACCGACCAAGTTAGTGCTAGTCACGCCTGTTCTCCTCCTCCCCCACCGGTAAATCAAGATTTCCTAAAACTTCCCAACCACTTTGTCACTTTCTCTTCCTCGTGAAGCAAACAGAAAACAAAAGAAAATAACACAGAGGGAGAAAGAAAGTATTATTAGTTACTGTCTTAGTGATAGAAAAAAAAATATATATATATATATATATATCAAAAACACTAAAATCACAGGTTGTCAAATCTCAAAAATCTCAGGCCTCTCGCGTTTTTAGGTTATAAAATTGTAGTTAATTATTATTTTTTGCTTCTTATTTTAGATTTTCCATTATTGTCTTCTCCCACCTTTCCAACTTCCATTCCCAGCATCTTCTTCTTAGCTATGCAAGAAAATATTATTTAGGGTTTTTTCCCTTTTTTTCTTTCATTTTTTTTTTGAATTTTTGAGAAAGAAGGAGATTACCAAAGCAACGTGTAATCTAACCTAGCAACCCGTTGCCAGAATTCCTGCATGAGACATTGGATTTTATCTTTTTAACATTGTATAATAAAATCCTTATGTTCTATGCTGGGATTCTGGCCTGGGTTTTGATTTTCTTGTATTAATTTTTTGTTTTTCTGTTTTCTTTATACTTGTAGACAATATTTTCCATTTCCTGAATCCAATTCCATTCAATCCAATTCCATTATCATTTGAGCATTGATTTTTTCTCTGTCATTGATTTTGAAGAGTTTTGGAAATTCTAAAGTAAAGCTAGGAATTTATTTCCAATTTCCAAAAAGGAAAAATTAGATTCTTGATTTGCAAACCCATGCTTTGGATTTTATTTTTTTGAAAAATGTTGAAATGATTTGCAAAAATTTTTAAGAAAATGAAGAATTTGGGTTTCCAGCAAGAATGTCAGGAAACCCAATTACTTGATGGAGGAAAAAATATTGCAAAAGGTGGTACTTTCTTGTGCATATATTAACAATAAGCAAGAAAAGGAAAAATAAAATTCCCTGTTTGGCTGTAGTAATATTATGGGCTGTATCTGCTCTAAAGGAGCTGATGACGAATTAACCACTAATGAAAGTGAGAGAAAGAAAGAAAATGAATTGGATAAATCATCAGTTCAATTGGTTGCTCCAACTCCAACCAAGAGAGAGGAGGACAGTGCAAGAGACGGCAGCAGCAGCCGGAAACATGGGTCTGTTTTATTTCCGGTGGCAAAAACAGGAGGTGCTATGGTTGTTCCATTACTAGAAGATGGAGAAAAGAATAGAAAGAGTTTGGAAACACCTTCAAAAAGTCATCATCAGAGATGGGCTACAATGGATTTAGGGTCAAATAGAAATAATCAACAAAATAATGTGTGCAGAATAAGTACCATGCCCCATGGCCCTGAAAGTGAGCTGATTGTTGCTGGTTGGCCTCAGTGGTTAACGTCAGCCGCCGGAGAAGCAATTAAGGATTGGCTGCCTCGACGAGCGGACTCATTTGAGCAGTTAGAAAAGGTTAGTATACTTTTAAGCACAAATATTCTTTTCCATTTTATCAATTTATTTTTTAGCATTATAATTTAATTTTTAATTTTAAGCAGAAATATTCTTTTCCATTACTTATATATATATATAATTGTAATGAAGCCAAATAGTAGTAAGTGACCAAAGGCTAGTAGTTACTGAACTGAATTCAAATTGCATTTTTGTGCAATAGAGAGCATATAATATTGAGTGAACTTGGAATAAGTACTCTTTAGTGAAATAAGTTGATGTTTTTAAATTGATTTATGCCTGCAGATTGGACAAGGAACATATAGTAGCGTATATAAGGCTCGTGATCTTGATTCAGGGAAAATTGTTGCAATGAAGAAAGTGCGATTTGTCAATATGGATCCTGAAAGTGTCCGTTTCATGGCTAGGGAAATTCATATTTTGCGAAAACTTGACCATCCAAATGTTATGAAGCTTGAGGGTATAGTTACTTCCAGAATGTCTGAGAGCTTATACCTTGTCTTTGAATATATGGAGCACGACCTTGCTGGGCTTTTAGCCACTCCTGGCATCACGTTTAGTGAACAACAGGTATTTTATCTGTTTCTTGCCCTTTCTTGTTTGTACTCTTGTTTTGAGGCTTGGACCGGGATGGTATTCATAAAGCTCTTCCACCAGATCCAGGTTTTGCATTCATGATGTTGCAGTTAAAGTTCACCAAGGAATGCAATCCATCTCAGTTCATCCAACCACTTGGTTTTTAGCTTTTGTTGAGAGTTTAAATATCTCATGTGGAAAATGTTAGATGCAAGTTGTAGTGTTTCTCTTAATTTTAGCTTATGTTCAGCACCAGATTGAAAATGTTGATAACAATATTTACACGTTGCTTTTGCAGATTAAATGTTATATGCAACAACTTCTTCGTGGACTTGAACACTGCCATAGTCGTGGTGTTCTACACAGAGACATAAAAGGTTCAAATCTTCTGCTTAGTGATGAAGGAGTACTAAAGATTGGAGATTTTGGACTTGCAAATTTTTATCAGCCTGATCAAAATCAAGCATTAACAAGCCGAGTTGTAACGCTTTGGTATAGGGCGCCCGAGCTTTTACTTGGTGCTACAGAATATGGATATGCTATAGATATGTGGAGTGTTGGTTGCATTCTTGCTGAATTATTTGCAGGCAAGCCTATTATGCCTGGAAGAACAGAGGTATCCTTTTCTTCCTTTTGCCTATGCATTTTTTCTTACACTAGAATTGATAAAATATGTATAACTATTTAATGAAAAATCTTTGCTTCTTCTTCTTCTTACTAAATTATTTCAGGTGGAGCAAATGCATAAGATTTTTAAGCTTTGTGGTTCGCCTTCTGAAGACTACTGGCATAAGAAAGGACTATCCCATGCAACTAGTTTCAAGCCTCAACATTCTTATAAGCGTCGTGTTGCTGAGACTTTCAAAAACTTCCCTTCTTCAGCTTTATCCCTCATTGATAAGCTCTTGTCAATGGAACCAGAAGCTCGAGGATCGGCCACTTCGGCCCTAAACAGTCAGGTATATACACTCCAAATTCATTTACAGAAGAAGTATATTAATCAAATTCATCTTAGAAAAGAAAATGAAATTTTCATTCATTTGATCCAAACACTATCTAATATTTGAATCTTGTCCTTTCCAGTTCTTCAATTCAGAGCCTTTCCCTTGCGATCCATCAAGTCTACCAAAATATCCTCCAAGCAAAGAACTGGATGCGAAGATTCGAGAAGAGGAAGCAAGAAGGTATCCTTAATATAACCTAATCCCAGAAAGGAAAAATATATATATATATATAGAACCATTACTAATATCTTATCATGCCATTTTCAGGATGAGAGCAGAAGGAAAAGCAAGCGTACACGGAGCAGAACCTGTTAGAATAGTTTCTAGAGATATCCAAGGATTCATTCCTCAGGGGCAAACAAAAACAAATAGTACTAGTTATAAATATGATATTCAAGAGGATGCTGGTTCTGGTTTCCGAATTGAGCCACCAAATAAGCCTATTAATATAGCATTATCACAGTCTAATTCAACCATTCATCCTTCTCAAGTTGGATCATCACTAGTAAATAAGAATTTAGGCTCTTCAAGACATCGTAATACAGAATTCAGGACACAAAAATCTTACAGGCCTCAATCTACCGTAGACATTTCCAACTCTTCTCTTAAGAAGGACTTTATCAGAGATCCTATGGTAATTATTTCTCTATCCTTTTCTTTATTTTTATATATATATGGTTGTAAGTGAGGCAAGCCGCTCATTAGCTGTTTGAGATTTGACTTAAAAAAAGCTTGTTCGATAAACTTGACTGCCTGAGTCTGAGCTCAAGTTTGAGCTTGAGAGCACAATTGTTTTTTCAAACTCGAATCAAGCTCTACGTATACCCTTAACAAGCAGAGCTCAAGCTCAAAAAAGCTCGGCTCAACTCGACTTGTTTATAGTCCTAATATATGATAGGTTTATAAGCAAATGAGTGTTAGACCTAATATAAGTCAATTGGATAATTTAATGAAATTATGGTATTGTGTGGTTTCAGGTGGGTGTTCCCAGGAAAAACAGAATCCACTACTCAGGACCATTGATGCCTCCTGGAGGAAACATTGAGGACATGCTAAAAGAACATGAGAGACAAATCCAACAAGCTGTTCGTAAAGCACGACTCGAGAAGTCTGGGACCAAAGGTAACTTTTGATGGTTAATTAGAGTCAGCAGCTTACAGGCACGTACATATTACCAAAATATTCAGGCTCTTATGACACCTTACAAGGAACTGTCCTTGAGTTGTCTCATTTCTTCCTCCGAAGAATGAAGTGCAACTAAGCAAAAAAGGCTTCATTACATAGCTGATTAGTGTACTTGTGTAGGGATTTGTCAAATATTCTTTTGCAGTGGACCTTTTTGTTGTTTTGAAATTTTTAAACAGTGTCTACAACCAAGAGAGGAGGATCTTTTTGGCTATTTGTTTGGATATTTTTGGACCTGGAATTGGTTTTGTATAGCGGATAGGGCTTGCTGTGTAGTGGCTAATTAGCATATGAGTAAAGTTCTCAATTTCTTATTCCAGATGAAAACTGTTGATATAATGTATTTTTGGGATTAATTTGCCTAGACCTATACCGAGTTTACGAGTCAACCCATAGATCAAACTAATGAAAGATCAAGGATATTTTTTATCATGCATTTGGAAAGAAAAAAAAAAAAAGTTTATCATGCATTTGGAAAGAAAAAAAATTAAGTGAGAACAATTTTTGAAAAATCTCTATTTTCATTTTATGGGTGGCCCTATAAATCGAGTCTAGGCATGGTTGGTTAGTTTGTTGCTTATTTAGCTGTCAGGTGGCCTCACAACATGCTAGTTCACATTCATATGATTGTTTTCTTGATCGTTCATTCTTACTTTAGAATCTGTAATAAGTTGGAAGATTGCGTTATTGAGACAATCTTATTCCATATCATCGGAAGCTTAAAAGAATCCTGTATGACTTTATAACTAATGGATCCACAACGAGCAACTGTCAGCAACCCTAAGATCCGTCAAGTAGATTGCTTCACTCGACTGTATCCATTCAGATTCTGGGTAGAGACAAAAATTGATAATAAAAAATAGATATACAGTATTGATTAACAAAATTTAAAGTATTAGCCAAAAATTGAAAAAAAAAACTCAAAATTTCAGGCTTTTAATGATTAAGCCTAAATAGAAGATATATTTGGATATCAGAAAATGGTTACACTAGCTAAAGCGGACTGTCTTTTTGAATCATCTTTACCTGAGGTCAAGAATCAGAGTGTAAGGAACCAAGATCGGACAACAAGCCAAGAAACAAGAACCAAAGCATGACCAACCAAGAACATATCTTTCTTTTTTCATCTTTTCTTTTCTGGTCAAAAGCCAGAAGATTAGGGCACTAATACTGTCGTGGTCATGTAAGTAAAGGACATGTAAGCAAAGTTGATGATTCTTGATGATTAGAATGTTAACCCATCAAAAAGTTTGAAAAGGTAAGTCAATTTATATATTCCTTTTTTTTTTTTATGAAAATAATTTATATATTCTTTTGTTGCATATGATATAATTTTCCATTAATTTTCTCATCTTGAATTGTCATTTTAGTGCCACGTATCATCATCTTTCTCAATGTTTAAATTCCATTTATATTCTTTCCTCATCATTGCTTGCAAATGCACCTATCTATCACTCTCTCTCTCTCTCTTTATTATGCTTTTGCTTTCCCTCCCTTTGATTCTTAAAAATTGAAAATTTCTAATTCTAATTATATACAGTTAATTAGGCTTAAACCAAAATTTACTGAAATTAATAGAATTTACAAGTAAAACTCTACATTTAGTAAGGGTGTTTCAAAATTAATAAATTGTAAGTATACGTTAGATATTTAAAATAAATTCTATAATTTTTAATAAAGGTATGAAAATTTGTCATACTTATATATTACCTCTGTTCCATAATACTTGTCACATTTGGAATTTCATGTCCCTTAAGAAAATCATTAAATTTATCAAAGTCACAATAAATTATTGAGTAAATTGACTATATTACTCTTAATTTAATACTAATTCTCTAAGAAAACCATTAAATTGAAATAATAATTATTGGTCCAAATTTATCAAAGTCACAATAAATTATTGTAGTAAATTGACTATATTACTCTTTAATTTAATACTAATTCCTCTAAGAAAACCAATTAAATTGAAATACTAAATTATTGGTCATGATACAAAGGGAAATATAATAATTATTGGTCATATACAAAGGGTAAATATGAAACCACAAATGTGATAAGTATTTTGAAACAAATTATTTTCTCAAATGTGACAAATATTATGAAACGGAGGTAATATTTTTTACGGTTATTTAGCCTTGTGATTAGGAGTTGACTTTTATGGCAACATATGAATTATGGGTGAGTTACTTGAAAGGGATACTTATAAAAGCAATAGATTCTCATTATTGAAAGGAGATGCTATTTCCAAGTGAATTTTACATGTAAAGTCAGAGTTTCGAAGTTCAGAGTCATTATTATTGAAAGAGCTATACCTGAATATTACTCTCAGCTCGAATATCGAGATATGAGTAAAAAAAAAAAAAAGTAACAAATTCTTTGAGATGAAAATGTTACAAATTACTAGATTTTTCTCTCCCTAAAATTTGACAAATTTTTTGTTTTACGAAATTTTACAAATTTAGATTTAGGTTTAAAATTCCTCCATCAAATGCTTTTTCTTTTAAGTTCATTTCACTCAAGAATATTTTTAAGATTAAACTTTCTTATTGGGCGAGTACAAGAACACATTCTTACCATCAATCTATGCATCGAGGAAATGGATGATAGTCTCGTAAAGAAAACCATGGGCAAAACGTCAGGAGCAATCTCCATATTTTTTTTTTCCTTAATACATGAGATGTCAAATAAGCCAAAATGATATTATATGAGCTATATAGTAAGGGAAACCTTCTTATTTGAATAATATTCACCAAGTTTGTTACAACTTTTATGGTAGAAAAATATTCGAACTTAAAACCTCTCATTCTACTGTCTCCACAAGCTGTGAGAAGATTAATGTCCAGACAATACTTGATTGCCCTATAATTCTTTTTTAACATAATAGTAAAGCATATATGAAATCATGCATCAAACTAAAGATTTATGATATGAGTAATTAAAAATGTTAAACTTTGCCAACCAGATATGGTCTAATTAGTCTTTTCACTAATGTAAGTGGGAGGTCGAGTTTAAATTCTCTTGGCCACAAAATTTTTTATCAATTTGGTGTGTAAAGGGAGACTACCCATGTTACTTCGGAAACTGAACCTTTCAAAGAGTAAAAAAAAAAAAAAAAAAAAAAAAACCTTTCCAGAGTAAAAAAAAAAAAAAAAAAAAAGCTAAGTCCATTTTTGATTAAAAAAAAAACAAAAACGCAATTAGAAAAAAAAAAAAAAAAAAAAAAAGCTAAGTCCTTTTTGATAAAAAAACAAAAAACGCAATTAGAAAGAAAAAAAAAGAGATGTTATGTGTTCTAAATTTCAATTTCTAGAGCTGAAATTGTATTCAACAAACAGAATAGAACAAAATCTTGGTGTTCCTTTAAAAAAAAAGAAAAGAATAATGTCTAAACTATCTCTTGGTATGATTCTAAATTATGTAAAATGTTATATTAAATATATTTTTTTAATTTATTGAAGGCTTTTATGAGCCGAAACAATACTGCAAGCTACATAATAGGAAGTAGCCCCTCCCCTTGGTTCACCAAATTGATGCCCTCCCATACCTGTGGTTAACGACTCGAATTTGAAACCTTTCACTCTTCACGTAAGCGAAAAATACCAATCAAACTACCACTTGATTGTCATTACATTAAATATTTTATTTCTCAGATTATATAACTTATTATCAATTTTCTTTTTTATCATTTACTATTGTTTTAAAAAGAAAAGTGATAATAAGTTATATAATCTGAGAAACAAAATATTTAATGCTTGGCGGGATATTCTTTTTTTATTATTATTTTTCCCGAGGTATACAGCAGTTATACTATTTTAATCGGTCATACTAAATATGAAACTTGAATTCATGGAGTCTCGTTCAAAATATATACAAGTTTGAATTTGAAAGTCTATAAGTTCGAACTCTTTGTTTGAGCTCGGATCATCTAAAAATAGTCAAGTTTAAGTTTAACGTGGAGTCAACTCGTTCATATTTTTTATAGCTAAAAGAAAAAAATTATAGCTCATTCTTAGGTTTATACTTAATGTCGAGGTTGTTTATCGACTTGTTAGCTTGACAATGAGACTAATAAGTTAGCTCATAAGCTTTATTTCAAAGCTTGAATTTTACTCATTTATTAATTAAACTATCTTAATAAGTTAATTCAAGTTCGACTCAGTAAATTTGTCAAATGAGACTTTTTGAACCAAGTCTCGAGTAACTCTTAAATAATTCGGCTCATTTACGACTAATTGACATTCTTATGTATACACACACATATACGTATAGTCCTATTGCTAGAGCTAGAAGTGGCAAGTTTTTGCTTGAGCCACAAACCCAACTGAAAGATGCTCGATTGAACCAACCATAAGGAGATCAAAATGCTTAAACTCAAATGTGATTTATTTGAGATTGGCTTAAAGATGATTTAAATTTAAGATTTAAGTTAATAAAAAAAATAACTTTAAAATTTTAAATTAAATTTTTTAGAGAAAAAATTAATATTCCTAATAGCCCAACCTAAAACCCATAAATTTACTGAAATTTGACCTAAAAAAAATGACTCAACTTGTACGAACACTTGAAGTAACTCGAACAAACTGAGAACCAAAACAAACCGAGACCCAAACCTAAACCTAAACCTAAAACAATAAGCAGATGAATTGTATCAGTTTGGTTCATTTCGAAATCAAACAAACTGAGACCTAACCTAAACCTAAAATAATAAGCAGATGAAACTGTATCAGTTTGGTTCATTTCGAAATCAAACAAACTGAGACCTAACCTAAACCTAAAATAATAAGCAGATGAAACTGTATCAGTTTGGTTCATTTCGAAATCAAAAGACCCAAACCTAAACCCATCTCACACAACCCATAATCACATGCCAACCGGTTATACAAGCACCATTAACGAAGGGTAAAGGAACACAAAAGGGGATCTTACCAAATTATTCTAAGAACTACGTGGTACTCTATATATGCTTTCTCATATACAAAAAGTCTACATTAATAGGTAGATGTTGATCTTGAAATCAAGCTTTTCATTTCATTCGGAATATTTAAATAACATTTTCTATAACAATCATATATACTTATGAGTGAGTTTTTTTCATTCATAACTCAATAAGATTCTTACTTAATTAAAAGTACGTGAGATTAAAAAAATAGAATTTCCATTATATAAAAGATAATTATTTATTCACGGTTAGATTCGCAAAAGTGAACTGTATTTCTAGATAAATTTTACTAGTAATTTTAAGGGATTAAAATGATTCACTTTGTTTCAATGGTGTCCAAACCTTCTTTACAACCCAGGTTGATTAAAACTTTTAAATTT